TCCTACATCCCTAGAATTCCCAGCTTCCTGCTTTATGCTCACCTGTACTAAATGCCTGAAGCATCTTGAACACTCTCCCATGTCTTTGTCCATTTTGTTTCTTTAGCTGGTGCTTCTCTTCTTCCTCCTAATTTTTGTCCAAGGTCAGCTCAATTCCAGTGCTTCCAGAAAGTCTTCCTAGCACTTTCTAGGCATGTATTTCCCTGCCCTCCACGCATTCCTGGCTCTTCCTACACCAAATTTAAGTGATTTGTTCCATATCTTTCTCTTCTAATAGATTGTCATCTCCTGAGGGCAGGGATTGTATCCTACTTGGGTTTTTATCCTCAGAGCCTAGGGTGATGCCTGGCACATGGTAGGTGTGGAGCTGAAATAAACCATATTAAACATTAATATAAGAAAACTCTGCATTGTCTCTAAGCTTTTTGCTGTTATTCTTACAAAGCTGATAACACTATAAATTGCTTCTCTTGGAAAGCAATATAGAATATGTAAGAGAAACTATTTTCTTTTACTTGGCATTTTCTCGTTTGTAACTACTCCCCAAAGAAATAACCCAAAGAGAGAAAATGGACACAGATGTCCTGGTATTTCTACTTAAAATAATGAAAAAAAGAGGAAACAGTCCAAGTGTCTAACAGGGAAACGACTAAGCAAACAGCAGGATTATTACATAGCTATTACAAATGACAGAGGTGAGGATTATGTCAACACAGAGAAGTGTGTATCTGCAGGATCATTATGTGGAGAAAAGAACTCAGGCTAGAGTTTAAACACTGGTATTTAAAGATATATGTGCAGATTAACAAAGATCAGAGGCCAATCTGGAGAAATGTAAATGGCTTGAGTTTAGCGTTCTCTGGGTCTTTTTTTCTCCTTTGCAGACCCATGAATTTGTGACAATAATAGTTGAGATTTTATGCAATAGAGATATCTTAAAGTCTTCAACAGAGTAAGTCCTACTGCATATTCCAAGAAGTAATTTAATGTTAACATTCTCATAAAATTGTTATGAAAATAATGACATTTCTTTCTTTCTTTCTTTCTTTTTGGCACCGGGGATCAAACTCGGGACCTTGTGCTTGCAAGGCAGGCGCCAGAACCACTGAGCTAAATCCCGGGCCCCATTAATGATATTTAAGTGAACATAATGCTTCTCTTTTTCAGTATATTTAAAAACATTAATTTCTATAACAATTGTACATATTTATGGGGTACAGTGACATTTTAGTGTACGTGTACAATGTACAATGATCAGATGAGATCAGATGAGGGTAACTTTTTTTTTGCTATTCTGAAGATTGCACCCAGGGCCTTCATACTGAACTACATTTTCAGCCTTTCTTTTTCTTTTTTTTCTTGTTTGGTATCGGGGATCAAACTCGCATCCTTGCACTTGCAAGGCAGGTGGCGGAACCACTGAGCTAAATCCCCAGCAACAGGACACAAGCTTTTTTTGTTTTTTTGTTTTTGGTACCGGGGATCGAACTTGGGACCTTGTGCATGCAAGGCAGGCATCGGAACCACTGATCTAAATCCTTGGCCCTCTTTTTCTTTTTCTTTTTTGTACCGGGAATTGAACTCAGGACCTTGCGCTCACTAGGCAGGCACGGTGCCACTGAGCTACATCCCCAGCCCTCTTCTTCATTTTTTAAATATTTATTTATTTAGAGACAGGATTTTACTAAAGTTGCTAAGTTTCCCAGGTTGAGCTTGAACCTCCTGCCTCAGCCTCCTTCAGTGCTGGAACTATACGCTTACACTACCAGACTTGGCTCCAGGGTTCTTTTCTTGAGTAAATTTGACAAATCCCTATGGGAGTTTCACTGTGCACTGCAGCCCTTACATTCTCCTGAAATCCACAAAACACCTGGGTGACCATCCTCAGCCAGAGGAGTGTTATTTTATTTTTCTTTCTTTGAGTGAATGTCTGTCTTAGTTGCTTTCTCATCACCAAGACACAATACCCGACACCCACAATTTAAAGGAGGAAAGGTTTATTTTGGCTCCAGGCAGGGTGGCATGGCCGACAGGAAGCTGCAAGTGATCAAGGGAGGAGAGGGATGTATAACCCTTCCAGGCCTCGCCCATGGTAACCCCTCTTCCACCAGGCTTCACCTCCCAATGTCACACCCAGCTATAAACCCATCAGCAGACTAATCCAGAGCACTCCTAGGTTCAGTCACCACCCAAAAGCCCCACCTATGAGCACAGGAGGCTTTGGGGGGCCATCTAGATATAAAACAAAACAATGCACTTACTAAAATGGATTACCAAGAAAAGTCTTGAAGACCTTTGACCTAAACCTTATAGTCATAAACTGTCTTAATTTTAAACTTTTAATATTCTATACATACAGTCCTTGAGATATATTGATAAGGATTTATAGGAAAAATTATCGTCATATAAATAACTTGTGCCAGTTTACCACTGTAGTTCACTATGAATTAATATTTTTGTAAATCCTGTAAGTACTATATACTGTGAGCAGCAAAATATTAACATTATAAGCCATATTACATTGCAATTAAAAGAAATAACCCTACTTTGGAATTTCATTTTTACAACTTCCTGAGAGCCTCAAAAACTGGAGGCAGCTGAGGCATCTCGGAGGCACCGAATATAATTATCATTTTATCTTGAAAACTGGATAGTTTTAAGGTGGGGCCTAAAGCTAACTGGCTGTTCACAATTTAACTGCATAAACTCCTAACACAGGCTACTGCTACTAGCCTTACTGTTCCTGCTGCCCTGTAACCAGCATTAAAAACTAGCACCTTCCAGGACAGTGGTTCAGTCCCAGCTACAGTCAGAATTGCTTTTGTTTTCCCAGACCGTGCTCCGCACGTCTCGAAAGAGACCCTCCAGGGCTCGGGAGAGTCCTGTGCTTAAAAACCTCTTGGTCAAAAAAAAAAAAAAAAAAAAAACGGAAACAAAAAACAAAACTAAAACCTCTCTTGGTTGCCAGGTATAGTGGCACATACTTATAATGCCAGCTCCTCTGGAGGCTGAGGCAGGAGGATCACTGTGAGTTTGAGGCCAGCCTAGGCTATATAGTGAATTCAGGGCCAGCCAGAACTACAAAGGGAGACCCTGCCTCAAAAAAAAAAAAAAAAAAAGTATGAAATATCAGGTTTTTACAAGGTAAAACTATAGGTAGCCTAAGCTATCAAAGATTAGATTTCCCCCCTTTATAAAGAAGGAAAAATGAAGAAAATGGTTTTCCCTTTCTTTGTTTTGTTTTTTGAGATAGGGTCTTGCTTTATAGTTCAGCCTCACTATGTAGTCCAGGCTGGCCTAAAACTTGCAGCAACTCTCCTGCCTCAGCCTCCCAAGTGCTGGGATCACAGGTGTGCACCACCACACCTGGCTTAAGAAAATGGTTCTTCAACACAAAGAAAATAAGTTCCAGGACCCAGGCAGAGCTCAGATGACACACTGTCCATTGTCTTTTACCTTTTGTTTTTTTCATCTTATTTCTATACCATGATTGCTGAGGCTCTGAAGAAGACTGAAAAATTCCTCATCTATGAAATGCAGATTTAACTGTGTTCATCTAAGCCCAAAATACACAAGACAATGTTCAGGGAAGTTGGGGAGCATTAGGAACTGAAGTCTGGGTACAGACCCTCCTTGTCCTCTTTCCTGCTCTGGTCTGGATATCCAATGTCCCCCAAGGCCCCCCGTGTTGAAGGTGGCGGGAGCTTGGGTCCAGCAGGAGGTCTTTAGGTCATTTCAGGCAAGTCTTGAAGGGGAGCTGGCACCCCCCTCTTCCTCTCTGGTTTGCTTACAAGCTTGAGATGAGCAGTTTTGCTTTGTCAGGGACTGCTTGGTGATGTGATGCCCCATCACAGGCCCAGCCGATCATGGGCTGTTGATCTTCCAAAGCTGTGACTTTCTCTTCAGACGCTTATCTCAGGTATTTTGTTACAGTGATGGAAGGCTGACTAATCCGCTCCTCCCGTTACCCTGGCTCACCTTCCACTTGTGACTATGTCTATGAGGACTGAGGACAATATTCTCTCACCTCAGCTCCAAAATATAGGAGGCAACTTGACTGAAGTTATGTTTCTCCTTCGAGGAACTGCAACTGGAATATTTGGGGATGGGCAAAACTCAGAATAATCAAGTTAAAAGGAACTGTGGCTGTGAGTCTTGGCATTTTGTTGATAATTACAAATTATAGTTATAAAGGTGAATGATTGAATCATGTTCCAGAATGATATAACTGTGAAGACTCTCCAAATGACCCAGGGGGTTGAGAGATAATAAACCAGTTTGACTTTCCTAGTTTGGAGGTGACAGTGTTAGAGGCAGGGACATGTATTTGGGGCTCTGTGGTATATGTCCCTCTCCGGGCTGGGCGCCAACCACTTTGAATACCCCCGAGACACTTGTCCTGTGTGTGACCTGCTCGGTGGCAATGCCACCGTTGCTACCCTCATTTTCCCCTTCTGGATGACTCAGATAATTGTCTTTCAGTCCATGCTTCGCTAATCTGTGGATAGAATCCATCCATTTAACTAGCACATGAGCTATAGCTGCTACTTTAAATGAAAATTCAGGAAGCCATCTCCCTGTGGCTGTGGGAAGAATATAATTAGCTTCCTGTGCAGCCTGACCCCATGGATTTTTCTGACGTATTTGGCCTGCAGTGTGCCCTTCCTGAGACCTCCCATCTCTCCTGCACAGCTGGATATGCCCAAAACTGCACGCAGCACTTCCCGTGGGTGTGGTCTTGTTTTCATAAGGCTCCTGGTGCTGGCCGCACACTCAAGGAATGGACCACTTACAGGTTCACAGTGGTTTTTGAAATACTGCTGAGGGCTATGAGTAGCTGTATCAGACACAAGAGCGTTTTCTGCCCCCTCCCATTTCTTTTTAGAGATGATTTTGTAATGGTGGGGTCTCAAGAAACACTCTAATTGGTCAGCCCAGGCGTGTGTGAGAGCTCCTGGATGGCATCACTAGCTATTCTCAGGAGAGGAAAGGCAGGGTATGCCCCCTGGGAGGGTGACGACATTTGTTTCAAGTTGGGGAAGGGCCTGTGGTTCTCTTCCTGCCTTGGGGGGAAAGCGAACACACAATGTTCATTTCCTAAATACGGGATGTGCTGTGTCGCCAGGTCATTTTCCACCAGGCCACATCCTTCGGGATGAGGGCAGCAGGGGTCAGGGCCGGAAATGGCAAATTCTCAGAATGAGACCAGGCTTTCCCAGGCCAGCCATTGGTTCTCCGGGACTATAAAGCAGGCCCATCCAGAAACAGCCGCTGGTGTTTCTCTCTTGAAGGCAGCCAGAAGAGAATGGTAAGTGGGGAGCCCAGAGGGTCACAGTCTCAAAAACAGCTGTTGGCTTGGTAAAACTGAGCTTGTAATCTTCATCAATTATATATTTGGGGTGACTTTTTTTCGTTTCACTGCTGAGTTGGATTACGAAAGCCTTCAGGTAAAATGAAGACACCTAAGTGAGGAAACCAGGCTGCTAGATTAGGCTCTGTGAAGAATGAGCTGCATCTAGACCATGTCCGTTTTGATTTCCTCATCTTTTCGGAGAGAATAACCACTTTTGCCCTGATCTTCACAGCTTTGAGATGTTCTATTGCTATGCTTATTTACCACTTTTAAGAAGTTCATGATGGGGTTGGGGATTTAGCTCAGTGGTTCTGGCGCCTGCCTCCCAAACTCAAAGTCCTGAGTTCGATCCCTGGTACCAAAAAAAAGGAGTTCATGACAATCAAGAATGTAATGGCTGTGAGGGTAGGAGTCTTTTGACAACTAGGAAGGATGTACTTTTATCCCAGGAAGTTGTTTTCTCTTTGTTAATCACTTTCCATTGGCTTCAATTCAACTTGGTACAAGGTAGCCCTCAGTGAATATTTAAACAAACTTCTGGCCAATTGATTTTATTTAACTGTCACTCATTTTTTAAAAAAGGAACTTATAATAAAAAGACAGAGACATTAATTGATGTTTTCTTAATTGTTTTTGGTACCTTGCGTTGGTGAGTAAAGTGTGGCACCACTGAGCTACATCCCTGGCTGCAGTTTAGTTTTAAGTACCCATCAAAGATTTGCGATTTCTCAAGTCCTTATGGGCCCCTGGTTGGGGTACATAATGCACAACACTCTCAGGCTTGATTCTAAGATAAGAGCCTGGAAGAATAACAAGTAGAATAACAGTAGGGTGTGCTTCAGGTAAGCATATAATTTAGATCAGGTTGGTTGGCTTTTTTTGTTTTGTTTTTCAGTTCTGGAGTTTGAACCCAATGCTTTCTCACTGAGCTACATATAGCCCGGCCTTTTTTATTTTGAGACAGGGTCTAGATAAGTTTGACAGACAGTATAGTTTTTGAGATTGCAGTGACTTGTCTTTTTCACACAGAGAGAGGCAGGGAGGCAGACAGGAAAAAGGGAGGAGGGAGGGAGGGAGGGAGGTGCTACCACCCAAGTATTCATTTAATTAAAGGGCCTTATAAACTGTAAAGCGCCATCCTTCTGACCCAGCACGGGCCTCAGTTTTGGAGTAGCCTTCTACCCCCGCCCCCCCTGCTATTTAACACACAGTTCTGGCTGAGGGTTACCTTTCCCTGGGAGAAAAGCTGAAGAAGGTAGCAGTGTTCTTATTTGCATGTGCTCGGGAAGTCCTGGGCCTCGTTCCAGATTTCAGAGCCGCCCTCTGAGAGCGTGACCCACGACCCGCGGGACGCCCACCCGTGGCCTCAGCCGGGGCATGTAACCTCCGACGGGCAGGGCCCGGGGGGCTGGAGCTAACCACGATCTGTGTCCCCGCAGGGCACGGAGCCGTCCCCCGCCCGGGGGCCGCCGGGCTCCGACGCGCTGCGGCGCCTCCAGGGGCTGCTGCTGGACCGGCGCGGGCTGCTGCATGCGCATCTGCTGCGCCTGCGCACCTTGGCCCGGAGGCTCGCGCGCCAGCGCCGCCGCTCCTTGGCTGCGCACGTGGCCGGCAGCTCGCTGAGCGCGGCGGGCGCCGTCGCCGCTGTCGTGGGGCTGGCGCTCAGCCCGGTCACCCTGGGGGCCTCGCTGGTGGCGTCGGCCGTGGGGCTGGGGGTGGCCACCGCCGGAGGAGCCGTCACCATCACGTCCGACCTCTCCCTCGTCCTCTGCAACTCCCGGGAGGCGCGGCGGGTGCAGGAGATCGCGGCCGCCTGCCAGGAACAGATGCGCGACCTCCTGAGCTGCCTCGAGCTCTTCTGCCGCTGGCAGGGCCGCGGGGACGCCCGGCTGCTGCAGAGCGGGAGGAGCGCATGCATGGCCCTGTACAGCTCTGTCTACTTCATCGTCTTCCTCGGCTCCCGCGGCTTCCTCATCCCCAGGCGCGCCGAGGGGGCCACCGAGGTTAGTCAGGCCCTGCTGAAGGCCAACGTTCAGAAACTGGCTGAGACCCTGGAGTCCTGCACCGGGGCCCTGGACGAGCTCAGCGAGCAGCTGGAGTCCTGGGTCCAGCTCTGCACCAAGTCCAGCCGCGGCCACGACCCCGGGGTCCCTGCTGACCAGCGCGCAGGGTTGTTTTCCTGAGAACATCCTTTCCTCCCGTGACCACGGCCAGAAACCATCCTCACGGGATGCCCCAGATTTGTAGCTCTCTCGGGACAACATCAAGTTCGGTGCGGAACTGAGTGCAAAGGATGAGAAAAGCCGCGCTCGGAGTGGATGAGTCCTCATGGCCCTTCTTCCTCGACGTCCTGCTATCCTGCCTGGACTTGAGGGCCAGACACTGTGACTTGTTGCTCCTGGCGGAGTGTGTGACCTGAAATCTTTGTCCTATGTCAAAAACCTGCTTGGCTTCACACAGTAGGGCAGCTGCTGGTGTTTTTAAATTATTTTGGGGTCCCTGCCCCTGTCCTGATGGTTTGAGCTGAGGCTGGAGGGGTGGCACCCACTTTGTCCTCTAGGTTCACTTTGTCCCGCTGGGCTTTGAGGTCCTCAGAGTGCCCCTGGGAAGACCCACTTGTCGTAACACCTTTCTCCTGGAGTTTCTGATACTAAGAACTTTGGATTCCAGAGCAAAACAGACACTCTGAACTTGTTATTATTATTTTTTGGTACCGGAGATCGAACTTGGGATCTTGGGCTTGCGAGGCAGGCGGCAGAACCACTGAGCTAAATCCCTGGCCCTCTCTGCACTTTGTAGGAGGGTTCGGGACCCAGTGCAGGCCCAGGCTGACGTGACCTCCCCTTCCTGTCCCCTGAGCTCACCCACTCACAGCCAGCCTGGGTGTGGTGTGGCTTCAATCCAGCCCTCTAGGTACCCTGAGAAAAGTCACCCGAGTAGTCGTCTAAGTCCTGCTCCTTTGCATAAAGAAGCCGAGACCAAGAGTGATGTCAGTTACTGACATCTCAGTGTAGAGAAGGGAGCAGTGGCTTCTGAGTTACACGGTCCTGGGTTTATCAGCGGCCATGCCACCACTGTGTGACTTGGCCACCGGATCTCTGAGGCTGGCTTCTTGTTCTGTAAAACACGATAAAACCTTAGCTTGCTGTGAGATACTGAGACAGAGTTCCTAACACAGTGCCTGGCTCACGTCTGGCTCCCGGATGGCTCATTAACATCACTAGGGAGTTTTTTAGAAAGGCAGATTTTGGGACTCAGCCCTGGATTTATAGAATCAGAAACTTTGGATGTGGGGCCCAGCAGCTTATGTTTAAACAAACCCTCCAGGTGACTCCGATGCACACTGAGGTTTGAAAACCACTTGCAACAAATGTTCATTTCTGATTCCCTCAATAAGCTTCGTCAGTGGGGGCTCCAGAGTCTTGAGAATCATTCACAGAAGGTCGGGGACAGACTGTCCCAGATGCATAAGAAAGAAAGTAGGAGGGTTCTTGTGCTGTAGCCAATGAGTCCTGAGGTCATTTCTGACCGTGTGGGAACTAAGAGATGTAACACAGTACGTCCTATAGAGGGCAGTGTTGCCCACTCGTGGAAACTGGTACAGAAACAAATGTGAATTTACCAGAAACCGATCTTTCTGTTACCTTCCCCGAGAACTCCAGACAACCTATTTTAAAAAATTTATTCTAAGTTTTTAATTTAATCACTATTATTTGAATTTAATTTTATTTAATCACATTTAGGAAATAATAAGGCTAGCATGTTTCTGAATAGGAGACTGATGAGGCTCTTTTTAAGAGATGAGGTTGAGTTTGATTTTCTAAAGAGTCTTTGTCCTTCAGAGGGCACTTTTTCTCTAGTGTTTTAAATGATCTTTTTAGGTAAGTGTGAGAGATCTGCACAGAGAGACCAGGAGCTGACTTTAAGTTTGTAAATTGAGACTTGACTTGTGGGATATAGAAATGAGGCAGCATATTTATCCTGAAGGTAACACTTCACCTGGGAAGAGAACCTACTTAGTTCAGGAAAAGAAAAATAAGAGGTGCACGAAAGGAACTCATAGACCTTGGGAATCTGAGGACCTGTGAAGTCATGTCTCATGGTTGACAGACAAAATAGCTTGTGTCATGGCAGTGAGGTGTCACTTTACAGACCCTACAAAACCTGTCAGCTCCATGTAGGAAAATACTTAGAATTTCCTCACTTTCCATTTCCAATTATGTTGAAAAATCGGTTGGAAAGTCTTTGGAACCACATACACAAGCCCTGTCCCCATTACTGAATTACTTCACATGCTGTGTACATTTGCCATGTCAGCCCCACACTTGCCAATGGTCGCTGTGTGTCTGAGGAAGTTTGATTTTAGCACTGGGGCAAGGGTGGTGTTTCTATATTCTTACTTTTTCCATAAATAGCAATTTGTCTGTTTCCTGGTTTATTTTAAGACTGACGTTGCCTTCTTTTAAAACTGGTGTTATTCCGGACCACTTTGCACAGATAAAGTGAGAAGAGCCTTCTGCACTGAGAAGTACCCGAACGTGTTATGGCAGAAACGTAACCATTCCCTAACCCCATCATTTATTAATACTTAAGATTGAGTTATCTTTTTCCAATGCTTGCATTGTTGCAGCAGCAACAATGGAAAACTTTTTCTGTCCCTTGAGTATTTTGAGTCTAGAGTGTCTACTTTGGAAACCATAGTTGCATGTAGTAGAAGTTCAATAAATGCATTTGAGTAATTTAATTAATGGCTTGAATATTCATAAGAATTTGTTGATAATGAAAGATCATCCATCCTCTCATGTGTCTGTGGTAAAGTGAAGCCTCTACCAGGATTTAGTCAAGTTCAGTTAAGTTGGTATTACTTTCTTTCATGGGAATGCAAATGAGGCTTTTTCTTAAGGCCTTCATTTTAAAAAACGAACAGGCTGAAATGGTATGTTGCAAAGGGAGAAGGGAGAGGGGGCATTTAGATTATAAGTGTACTTTACAAAAATGTCAGGGTTTTAAAAATACACATGTTCATACTAAACGTTGAAGTACTTCTCTGTTTCTTGGGCTTATAGTCATTTGGCTTATTTTGTTTCACAATAAAGGGGACTCATTTATTTCTGCATTTCAAAGGTTCAATAAAACTACATCCTGCTCCATTAGAAAATAATCCTTAGCAAACATTCTGTTTTGATGCACTTGCTGTGAGACACCTGTCATTTCCAATATGATAAATGTCAAAGCCGAAAGTATTTACTGGGAGAAAAAAAGAGAGGAGTGGTGTAGAAACCACTCTAGATCAGATATGTCAAACAATCGGCCAACTTGATACATTTCTCATTCAATAGCTTGCTGTGAAAAGAAAGTAGAGGAAATTGAGAGGTTGAGATAAAGACGTGCAGAGTTAAGTGGGGATAAAGTTAAAAGTAGGAACTTTTGAATTCATTTTTTTCCCACTGTGGCAAAATTGCTCCTTTTCCTTTATTGAAGTAAAATGCTCATGTTTCAAACCTTATGATCTTTCTGTAATTTCGTGGTCTCATGTTTGGCTGTGTATGAATTAGTAGCTTTGTCAGAGGCCAGATATTCACTTGTTTTCACTTAGAACATTCAGCATACAATTATATGAATCAATTTTTAAAGTAACCAGTTCATATATAGGATCTCCTTTATTATCTAGAACGTAGACTTCTAGCACTCTTGGAACCTTTGAGTTTAATTATAACCTGGGAAGTAATCCAAAGGAAACCTAGAATCAGTCAAATTAGCCTTCACAAAACCCAAACTCTAGAGAGAGACAGGCAGGGAACATGAGGGACATCTATTTCAGGAAGGCAAAACTTTTGCAGAAATCTCCAAGAGACTTCATCCTGTAAGGCACAGTTTTTAACCATGCAAGACAGGCTGGGAAATGTAGTTTTTTAAGCTGAGGACAGTGCTGCCATGAATATACTTTCAGTTCTGTTGGTAAGGAAGAAAACACAGGTGGCCATTGGGATGGGGGTGGTTATCCGGCACCCCAAGCCAAAGCTTGCTGTGGTTGCTGGAGGCAGCTGGGGACTCCTGCTCTCTGAGAGTCAGTATCTGCATCTATACCTTAGAAATGTTCCTGGATCTGGATGTTGCCCTATTCATGACTGCACAGGGCCGTCACTGCCGTAAGCTGGGATCCTGTCTTTGCTGAAGCATATGGAATTCCTGTAGCAACAAGTGTTCTTGCAGCTAAGTGAGATAAATTTGTGGAGTTGACAGGTTGGGATGTTACTTTCTGCTTCTGGCAAATTCATAAAAGGGGAAGTAAACCCTGCTGAGGTCTGGAGTAGGACAGTGAGCCATAAGATCTGGAAACAATCTCTCAACCCGAGAGCTGTCAGGAGAAAGGAAATAGTGCTGCTAAATCGAGACCCATATGGGGGCCAGGATGCAGGTTGGGGTCCTCAGGAGCACCATGCCTGATTGGCATCTCTATTGTGCTTTAGTCTGTGTGGATAAAGATTCTCTTGATGAAGCTGCATCTGCAGAGTGTGATGTCCAATCTTGTTTCGTATGTCTGGTGTAACCCCAGAAGTAGGTGCACAGCCTGCTGGCCACCAGGTTTGTCCCAGAGCTTCAGCCAAGGGTCACAGCCAAGGTTTCTGCATCCCTTTTGGAGAGGAACAGGCAGATCCTGACTGTATCCAGTCACCAAATTGACCAAAATAGCTGTAACTGAGAGAATTTTTCTGTGTAGCGTGGGAAGGAGGGGTGATAGCTAAAGTCTTTCTTTTAGGTGGAAAGCTTCATCATGTTCTGGGCTCCCTGGTTGACATGCAAATATTTGCTCTGTCTTCACCTTATTATTGAAGCTGCATGTTCATCATGTCATTTAAGAGCAGTACTTTCCCCGGTGCCTAACGTGACATTTTGATATATGGAACATAAATGTGGAATATTTAATAATAGTGAACGTTTACTGAGAACTCACTAGGTACTGTTTTAAGTACAATTAGACCTGCATTATCTCATTTAACTTACAAAAATCTTATAAGGTGGACACTGAAATTACCATGTATTATTAAAGTAAAGAACTTGAGTAGTCACACAGCCAGCAAGAGTACCCCAAGGGTCGAATTTGGGCAGTGTGATGCCAGAGTTAGGCTGTTAGCTATTCTTATAGTAAGTGTACTCCTGATATAAGATAATAAATAGCTCATGATGCTAATAATATTAATAACAAAAGTGACAGATTCATCCACTCATAAAATATTTACTGAGCACTCAGATTGTACATGTTCTGTCCTTTGTGAAAAATATGGATTGGGTTCTAGATCCCATGGCAGGGACAATCTAGTAATCTAGGTAGCATAATCTTATGCCAGTAGGTTAATCATTAAGAAATTAAAATATAGTTTGGCAAGTGGCTACTACTTGCAATAAACAATGTGAGTGTGATTGGAAAGTTATAAAACTTCAGCTTCAGCTTTGATCAGAAAAACTTATGTCAACACAGATATTTTGTAGGGCTGCCCCAGATATCCCAAACATGGCAAGATTCTTGGCAACCAAACACTTGGGATGAAAAGATGTGACGTGTAAGAACTTTTTTTTTGCTAATTGCTGATGTGCTGGAACTGAAGATATGAATAGAGACATGAATACAAGAATTACTGGTTCAGCAACCCTTTTCAGATCTTACTTAAAAACCTCTAAAATGAAACTTCTCGGGGTCATTCCATCCAAGTCCCCACAGAGCCTGCTTGTCATCTTCTTCCCCTTAGGGTGTGCACTCGGTTTCAGTTTAGCAGTTACGGACTGTACTGCAGAGACTGAGTGAGCAGGAAGAGAGTTTGGGTTCCATAAAACTATGCAAAATAACAATGCTTGTCTGTGGATGTTTTATTTTCAACATTGTCTTCTGAGAGTCTTTTTTTTTAAAAATAAATTTCATTTATTCCCATTCTCCTCCCTCAAGTCCCCTCCCCTCCCTGTGTACAAAAGCTTTGTTTCCATTTTTTCCTTCTGTTTTCACTTTTTTTTGTTCCTTCCTTTCTCCCTCCCTCCTCCCTTGTTCCCCTTCCCATTTGAACACTTTCTTCCCATTTCCCAACATCCATTATACATTATTCAGTCCTTATTTCTGTGTAGTAAACCTTATTGTTTAAGTTTCATTCTTTCTAATTTCTCTGTAGCTTTTGACATTGGTATTTTTTTTTGTTGTTTTTTTTTTTGTTTTTTTCTGAGAATTGAACCCAGGGAGTGCTAGGCTACATCTTTAAGCCTTTTTATTTTTATTTTGTGGCAGAGTCTTGCTAAGTTCTTAGGTAACTCAGAATGGCCTTGAGCTTTCGATCCTCCTGCCTCAGCCTCCTGAGTAGCTGAGATTACAAGTGTGAGCCACCAACTGAGCTGACTGCTCAGTTCTTAGAGCCCTCGTCTGTCTTGTGTTTTGTGACACCTGCCTTTATTTGTCTTTCTTACTCTTAGCTTCCTTAATGGCTTTTCTTTTTCCTCTGTTCCTGAACTCCCAACATTCCCTGACCTCAGGCAGACTGAGGCTGCTTTCCCTCACCTCCACTATGCAGTCTCCACTGCCTGTCCTGGATTGGATGTTGGGATGGATGGATCCAGCTCTGAAGGATTCTCTTGGGTCAATTTGAAAGTTTTTTTTTGGTAATGGGGATCGAACTCCAGCCCTTGCGCTTGTGAGGCAGGAGGTGGAACCACTGAGCTAAATCCCCAGCACGGATCAATTTGAATTTGATAGGTATTAGGAGAGATAAAGACAAATGAAATCACTGAACAAAAGACAATGTACAAAAAAAACCCCGAGCTGTGTTCCTGCTACCATTAATTTCACCCAGATACAGTCTTGCTCTAATCTGAATGTCTAACAGCAATCTGTTCATAGCTGTCACTCTTTATCATTTAATACTGTAGGAACCAGCCTACCAACTTGAACCTGACAAAGGGGTGCTGAAGATAAGAAATAGAGACACAGAAACAGGCTAAAATCTGGGGGCTCAGGGGGCTCATGTCTCCCTCCGACATAGAGCCCCACCTGACTGGTGCACCTTGGCCGTATTCCCTCAGACACAGGCACAAGCAATTGGTTCCACAGGATCCATCCGTCTCCCGCCCTCCACAGCACTTCTCCGGGTGAAGAACTCCACCTCGGGTGTTTTTACCTCTCCCTGCAGTGTGTCAGCAGCTTGCTTGCCCTCTGTCTTCTCAGTGCTCACTGAGGAGGCCAATTAGCCCTCATTCGCCCAATCTGATCTCCCACATAATACCTTTTATTAAAGATAATGGTGCCTACCCCAAACCCTGAAGGAGAGAAGCCATGCCACAGATACCATTAAGTCTCCCTGCAGTGTCCCTGTCTGCCTCCTGCTTCAGGAAATGCTCCATAAGCATTTGTTGAATGAATAGATGAACAAGCACTGTCCGTCCTCATGGAGATCCTGGCATCCTTTGCCCAGTTCCACAGCTCACCCAGCCCTGTCAAAGGCAACATTAGTGTCTCAGCTGTCTGCCTGAAAATCTCTCCTCATCTAACCTTCCCCTTTCTTATTTCTCTGATACACCTTTGCCAAAATAGATCTTTTCCATTAAATCTCTTCTCCACCCTTCTTGATCTATTTTACCATCACTACAACCTTTCCAGGTTTTACCCAACACCCACAACAACTTGTAAGCCAGGGTTTCTCCTTCCAGGTTCCTTTCCCTCACATTCATGCTACACTCCAGTCATCAACTCATGGATGTAAATAACCGATTTCCTCACATTCCAATCTCACGGAACATAACTATATCTACACCTTAGTTGTAAGTTTCAGTACATGCCCCAGAAAGGTGCTGGCTTCCTGTGGTGTCTGTTATATTTCAGCAGTGTATTATGGCTGTGAAGAGCTAAGATCACTTAATTCTGTGATTTTAATAAGAAAACAGTGGCATAGCCTAGCAACTGTTAAAGGTGTAAGGCTGATTGTGGGGGGAGTCCTGGGAGGAGGAGGTAGGATGTGGAGGGGGAAAGCAGGAATGGGCAGGAGGTCATCACTATGTCAATGTCCGCAGTGAGATTGAAGGCCCAAGGTTTTTGTTTTGTTTTGTATGTTTTTTGTGTATTTGTTTGTTCATTTTGCAGTACTGGAGACTAAACCCAGTTGCTCTTCTACCACTGAGTAACATTCCCAGCCCCTTTTATTTTTCATTTTGAGACAGGGTTTCCCCAAGTTGAACTTGTGGTCCCCTTGCCTCGACCTCTCAAGTAGCTGGGATTACAGGTGTGCGCCTCTGTGCCCAGGGGCCTAGTGGTCATGACTGACCCGGAGAGGAGAACGGGACCATCATGTACCCCAGTGCTTAGTGATGGGAGATAGGAGCAGAGGAAAGACAATTGTCTGTTGAATCTGGTGCCTCACCCCCATGGGCTCTTGAATGTATGGAGTTGTCATGAAAACCCAAGCTTAGTTGTAGACCAGCACTAACTCACTTGCTAAAACTGTTGGGTTTTGTAAATGAATCTTAAACTTATGGTGTTGACAGTGAAACTTCTGGCCCCTGAAAGCTTCCCTCCTTAGAGTATGTCCTTTATCAGGGGTGCCGCTAAAGAGGGGAAGACTTCACAGTTATCTGGGGTACAATTTCCTGCCTGTCTAGCCTGGCCATTTTTGCAAGCTTTCTCATCAAGATTGTCATCCGCATTTACTTCTCAGCGCACAATTGGAGGATATCATTCTCTCTGGCATGCAGGAGCTAGAAAGAGACATTTTTCCTTCAGTGGTCTGCAGTGAGATTGGAGCTGGTCCCCACCCCTGCTTTATTTATGGAAAGCTTTTGGTGTTCTCTGCTCTTTCTCAGGAATGGTTAATCGTGGCCCAGGGTAATAACCTGTCTTCAGACACTCAATTTAGACTTTTTAAAAAAACTTAGAGATTTTTAAAAATCTCCTCCTCCTCTTCCCCCTCCTCCTACTCCTGGGAACCAAACCCTGGGCCTTGTGCACCCTAAGCACATGCTCTACCCCAGAGCTCCCAAGCCCCAGTGTACCTCTTGTACACACAAACATGTGACATTTCTGCATTGTGACTGCTGCTTCATCTCCCCTTAGTTGAGTGTCCTTGAAAAGTCAGAAGGGGTGAGATTTAGGCCAAGTGCACAAGGAGAGGGGCCAGAGTATCTTTAGGAGTACGATGGAAAGCTGGCAGGAGGGTGGTAAGATTGGCAGTGGGAATTGTGGAAGTTCATTTCACTGTTCACTGAAATGGAAAACAAGGTCATAGGTTGAGATGACCAGGGAATGGGGAAACTGGGTGGTGGCGAGGAGTTGTTTAGGAGAACGGGAAAGAGAATAGGCAGAGGCATAAAGAGACATCTACATCTACAGAGGGGCAGAGGTGAGTGGGTTTTAATGATGTAAAATGGGGAGGCAGTTTTGTTCTAGCAGGTGTTGGGTTCTTATATGCAAACACAGCAGCTCTTCCAGCTAGGTAAGCACAGAAGGAATTTATTAAATACTAGGAAGCTTTCAGAGGCTCCTAGAAGGTCACAGGTAAGCTGGGGGACAGTGCAGCCAGGAACAACACCCAAACCGTGTTTGAGGTCACCACTCCAGCAGAACCTCCAGCGCCCCTGTCCCCAGGCCGGGGTGGCTCCCAGGACATACCATGCAGGCTCGGCACCAGGACCTTTGCCACACTTGTCACCTCTGCCTCTGCCATGTCCACTGCCCTGCGCGAGCCTCTTGTGAACTCACAGGAGCATGGGTGTGTCTGCTCGGCAGAGACCAAGTCAGGCATCTGTGCGAGGAGGATGGGTGAGTTTCTGGTTTCTACTTCAAGGTCATGATCTCAGAATGAGGGAATTTCAGGAATCAATGGAAAACTATTCAACAGACGCTGAGCAAGGATGAGACATGTCCAGACCAGCAGGGAGAACAGTTCATCTCTTATTTATTTGTGTCACATATTTGGACCTCAAATTTATGATACCCAAATCTAACACTTCTCTGTTGAAGTGTGGCATAACTACCGTGTTACAGCTGCTGGGTATTTTGTTGTGGCAATAGGAGCTGTGTTGCCAAGGAATTTCATAAAGCCCTCCGTGCCTAGTAATGTGTGTTTTAAAAACTGTGCATGCCTTAAAAAAAAGGAATATGAAACAACCAGGAAATGAGTCAAAGCTGCCTTTTCCTTTATGACCCAGTCCATAGAATGAACTGACCTTTAAACCCTAGCCTTTGTGGCTCTCTACCCAAGGGTTGTCACATAACATTTGAATTTCCTGCTTCTTGTTGACTCTAGGTTAGACCCATTCCCTATATATTTTATTTACATCCTAGAACATCATTTATTCTATTCACTGTCATTTTCAGTCTGAGATGCCATACAGCATATGTCAAGGCTCAGTTACTAGAGTGGGCCTCTATTATTTCCGTGAGCAGAATATAGATACCCAAGCTACTGCAGACCGGGTGGGAAGAGGCAGGAACAGGTGAGGCCGGCTTCCTCCTGGGAAGCCACCTGTGGTCACCCAGGGTGTTACCTGAGTCCTGTCTGCCACAGGCGGGTGCTGCTTGAAGGCTCAGACCTCCGCAGCAGGCCCTGCACCCAGAATCGCATGCTACATCTCTGGGGCCCTGATGCCCCAGGAACACTGGCACCAGAGGAAGCCTTAAAATTAGCCCACGTCTGAATTATCCAGGAATAGGACAGGGAAAACCTCTGCTTGGCTAACACGGGAAGGATTTAAAACAATATAATACCAGTTGAATGGTTCAATCAGCTCCCTTTAAAAGCGGCCGTCAATCTTCAAAAATCTTTCAGGGCTGATGGAAAGGTACAGTGAATCTTTAAATGAAAAAAACAACCTGTTACAGTACAAGCACATTGCCAAGAATGATGCGATGAGTATGTTCTAAGTGAGGGATTTTGATGAATGGCAATGCGCCTTTTTCCCATGATATTTTACATTGAAATGTTCACCCTATTTTATGATCCCCCTTGATCAATTGCTTACGGCAGGTTCTGTGAAGTCAAAACCTGACAGCGAGTCCACACCCGCCTTAGTCACCGGATCTGCTCCCAAGCAACTTCCGGCTCCTCCCCCCAAAGTCAAACGACCTCGGAAGGTGAACGTGATTCGGGACAAGGTAGCCAGGACTGCCCAGCTCGGGCTCCACAAAGCGGTGAGGACGACGGGTTCCGCGTGTCCCACAGGAGGGGGAGGATCTCGAGGCCGCAACATGTCTTTTACCGTAAAGAATTTTTAAAACTTTAGACATGTACCATATTGTTTGATCATACCATGTATATAAACATACAGAGTCTGCCCCCCAAATGTATACATAAAGAAAAACATAAATATTTTAATAATAAATTTATTGAGATATGAGATTAATACAAGTTCTTTGGCCTCTACATTTACAAGAGGTGCTCCAAGTAGCAGCCATTGGTTTCCAGACATTTATTAGTACAATGAACTGATGAAGTGTGTATGCATTTTTGGTAGCCTCAGTGTATAATATATAAATATATGCAAGTATATATAAACACATATACAAGTATATGTAAACACAGTAATATGAAAAGACCAAAGATCTCAGCCTGCCCTTCCGTCATGTCTTCTCAAAGGTGGAAAAAATTTCTTTCTCTAAAGAACCACTCAGTGAAATCCTTCCTAGCCCGCCGTGGTCTCTGATCCCAACCCTGCTAGGTTTTACTTCATCTAGGGACATTTGAGGAGGGGCACTGGGGATTGAACACACTGTCTTCATACTGAGCTACATCTCCAGCTCTTTTTAAATTTTGTTTTTTGAGGTAAGGTCTCTCTAAGTTGCTAGACTGCCCGTCCAGGTGGATTCGAATTTACCATCTGCCTGCCTCAGCCTCCTAGAGGGCTGGGGATTATTGGCATGCACAGATAGCATATCTTGGTCATACATTTTATACCAAGAGCCAGGGAAATAAAAGGTTGCTTCTTGTCTCTTAGATTGTCTATCTTTCCCATGCTTTCTTCTCTATAATCTATCTCCACGTAGTGTTAGGGTGATATTTTAAATATGCAGAGCATATCAATTTCCTGCTCAAAATTCTTCTTGTACTCAGAATAACTTCTGAACCCCGTAGCTTTTACTGCAGTGCCCTACCTCACTCTACCTTTTCTGTTGTTAAAAATATCATCAGTTCTCAGCCTTTTGGCTAAGATCAAGTGTTGCTGAAAATACCAATGTGATTTCTAAATCAGGGCTTCTCCAGGTACGAAGGTGGGAAGGACTCCAGGCAATTGAGTGGAGTTCATCGCAATTCTCAGGTCTAAGCACACTCCCTCTATCTTGTATATTTATTCTCTTTCATCTCCCATTCTTTTATTTCTAATTTGCTAATTTCTACTTTTATCCAATTCCTCTCCCTCCATACATAACCATTCTGAAAAGTTTCAAGTGTATTTTCTGTTTGTATGTGGTCTAGCAGAACATGGACATATAGTTTTAAATGTGCACGATATACTTCATGCTTTAGGTTTCTGAGACCTAGCTATATTGCTAAGGGCATGCTGGTGCTCGCTGTGTACACATTTTAACTGCCCACTCTTCCAGTGAGGGACTTCACATTGCCTCCTACTGACCACCTCCCGGAGTAATGTTGCAGTGACCACTCAGGCGACTTCACCACAGAGGCCCCAGCTGAGTACAGTACTTTGCTGACTGGTGACTGATGGCTTTCCAGATTAGCCTTGCTGGCCTCAGGGCTTTGCACTTGGTCTTCTGTCAGTGTGGAATAACTATCTCCAGGGCCCTTCAAGGACTTTCTCTTACTCCTTCGTGAAGACTCAGCTCAAATATGGCCTCAGAGAGGCTGACTCATCTTGCAGTTATCCCTACAACTCTCTCTCACCAGGTGGTCCTCCTCACTTTCATTTACATTTGTTACATCGTAGCACTCGTCACAATTTGCAACCACTTATCATCATTTATTTATTATCGGTCTTCCCTCGGAGAGAGTAGGGCCCTAGCAAATGCTCAACCGCTATTTTTGAATAAATGAATGAAATAATGAATACCATTGTGAAATGGATCTACTTAACTGTTTAGAGCTAGAGCAACGGGGACCATAACGGGAAGGCAGGAAGGGAAAGCGCTGTGGAAAGGAGACCCTCTGGCCATGTGCAAGTGGCTTAGATCCACCAAAGCATTGTATTTCCGCAAAGCCACACTCGCCTGCTGACTGTTGACAACCCCATCTAGCCTGCAGGGGGCGCTCGAAACCCAGGCCATCAGGGGAGAACTGAAACTACATTTCCCAGCATCCTGCGCGCAACCGACCCACTTCCGGAACCGACGACGAACATGGCGGCGTCCGGGGAGCACGATTCTCTTCCTGAAGAGCCCCAGCCCACGGTGGAGGAGGAAACGAAAACGTTTAAGGACCTGGTGAGGATGGGTGATGGCGATGTCTCTTTTGGACTGTAGAGGGTAGGCTTGGGAGGGTTCAGTCACCTGAGATTCCGGCTGGTACCGCAGAAAAGCATCTCCAGGCCTCCTTTAGGTTTCCTGCAGTTTCCGAAGTTCGGTTTCGGCTCAGGATTTGGTTGCAGGACTGCTGGCCCCTGAGAGCTCCTGTTTGCCCTTTTCTCCACTTGAGTGTGGCGACGTTTGGTGTCGTCCAGAAGGTTGCAGAAATCGATCTTTTTATAGCTGGAGCTTTGGAGTCAAAGGAACCAACCGGGTCTGAATTCTGACCCAGGCAAGTTGTTGTCTCTCTGTGCCTCAGTTCCCGCACGCGAGCGTTGGGGTAATTACTTAGCTGGCAGAGTCGTGATGATTAAATGAGATAACGCACGTGGAGCGCTTGGCTTTGTCTCTGATGAAGAAAAAGAATTAAGTCTTGAGCAGCTGTCTCACTGCACTCAGAAAGGGGAGGCTATAAGGTGCGCAGTGCAGACCTTTTAAATCAGGTGTAAGGGCTCTGCCTGTCACCTGCAGAACGGCACAAATAAAGTCATTTGAAAAGGAGGGAGACTAGAGAGGCTGAGGCAGGAGGATCACGGTGGGTTCGAGGCCAGCCTGGGCTACACACTGAGTTGAAAGCCAGCTGGACTACATAGGAAGACCCTGTGGCAAAACCCAGGAATAACCCCCAAAACGGGGGAGGTGGGGATGTGGTGTTCTTTGCTGAGGTGTATTTTTCTTAATTCTAAGGGCGTGACAGATGTCTTGTGTGAAGCTTGTGACCAGTTGGGATGGACAAAGCCCACCAAGATCCAGATTGAAGCTATTCCCATGGCCTTACAAGGTTTGATTCTCAGTACCACAGAAACATTGATCACGAAATTCCCTGCTTATCAGAACCCCGGCATGGCCTATGAGCTTCCTGTCTAGCCTGATTCTTCTCCCTCCCTGTAACACCAGTGCTCCTCCGGAGGCCACACTGCATTTCTCTCTCATGCTGTTCGTAAAGCGGCATCCTGTACCCTTCCTTCCCCTGCTCACTTCAGGTTCAACTCCCGCCCCACATCGGCAGGCCTGGCTCTTTCGGGCAGTAGTTACTCCTTCCCTTGTGTTCTTGCTGTATCCTCTAGGATACACATGGTAACCTATTTGTGCATTTGTCTATCTCACCATTGGATTTTGAGTTTGTCTAGGACAGAAACCTTATCTTTTTTCATTATTCAGTCTTCCCTGGTCCCTAATTCGTCAAGTATTTCTTCACCAGCTACTTTATGCCTAGCATCATGTTGTTGAAGAGCTCAGAGGGAATTTCTTTGTATTTGGTGTTTCTTTTTCTTCTAGGTCGTGATATCATTGGGCTGGCAGAAACTGGTTCTGGAAAAACAGGGGCCTTTGCTTTGCCCATTCTGAATGCACTGCTGGACACGCCCCAGCGCTTGTTTGCCCTGGTTCTCACCCCAACCCGGGAGCTGGCCTTTCAGATCTCAGAGCAGTTTGAAGCCCTGGGGTCCTCCATTGGAGTGCAGTGTGGTAAGTGCTGAAGAGGAGAGGAGTCCTGGGGTGTCCCTGCAGGTGGAGAATAAGTCAGAGAGGAGAGGGGAAGAAAGTGTTGGCAACCTTTACTGACTTAGGAGCTGATGTTGTATCTCAGCTTTGGGAAAAGCATTACTAGTGAGGGAGAGCAAGTGTAAGTAGAGATACAGTATAGACTTTAAAAGATGATCAGTGATCTATGGAGAAAGTTAAGGATGTCTTTTCTGTTCTTTTTTGATTTCTGTAGCTGTGATTGTAGGTGGAATTGATTCAATGTCCCAGTCTTTGGCCTTGGCAAAAAAACCACATGTAGTAATAGGTGAGTAATTGAGGAAGGGAAGAGACACTGAAAGTGGTGAATGGGAGAAAATCTACCTGTATGGGGAGGAAAGACTTTGAGGAACAGGTTTTTGTAACCTTGTTTATTTTTTTAATTTCTTAATTTTGGGGGGTTGTGTGGGAGTGGTGGATCACTTTCTTTTTGTTCTGGTTCTGAAACATTGTCTTTTTCCTCACCCTTTCTTGGTAGCAACTCCTGGTCGATTGATTGACCACTTGGAAAATACAAAAGGTTTCAATTTAAGAGCTCTCAAATACTTGGTCATGGATGAAGCAGACCGGATACTGAACATGGATTTTGAGACAGAAGTGAGTTCTGGATTTCTTTCTTCTTCCTAGACCATCTCAAATTTCCTGTTTCTAAATTTGGTTCCTTGGGCTGGGGATTTAGCTCAGTAGTGCCGTGCCTGCCTTGAAAGCATAAGATCCTGAGTTTGATCCCCAATACTGGGGGAAAAAAAAGATAAATTTGGCTCCTTGCTCCCACAGTTTTTTTGGTTTTGTGTTTTGAACTATGGGAGATTGAACCCAGGACCTTCGCACAGAGCTACATCCTCAGCACTTTTTTTTGTTTTTTATTTTGCTCAGGCTGGGCTAAAACTTGTAATCCTCCTGCCTTACCCTCCCAGAGTACTGAGATTACAAGTGTCACTACCACAGCTGGCTGACCCCCTCTTTATGGAAAGTTCTGTATCAGTCTCAGTTAATTTCAGCATCTCTGCCACCCTTTTCCATGCTTGGTGCTCTTCCTTCCTGCTGTCAGGGCCTCAGCATTTCAGAGATGAGATAAGAAATGTCAAGGTCAGAGTTTTTTGGGTTTTTTTTGAGTTTCTAAAATTTTTATTTATTTAAAGTTAATATGTGCATTACAGGAAACAAAAACACAAGCAAAGAACAAAGTCATTCGCAATCATAAGCAGCTTAGCTGGATTTGTTCTAGGTCCTGTGTGTACATATACAACATGTCATTTTGTGTGACTGAGTTTGTACAGTGTGTGCTATGCTTTTCTACACATCATGAATATTCATCAATTCAAAACCCCAAAGCTACAAGAGTATTTTTGATAACTAAGAACACATTACATCAACTCAATCTGTTAGAATAAATAATCCTGCCTTTCTTGGGAACAAAAATTTCACTGACGATAAAAATGGCAACAGGCTTCTATATAGAAGTATTGGCAAAGTTAAATTACAATACTGCATTTCCTTAATGCTCAATTTAAAATGAAACATAAAGCAACAGAGTACACCAAGCCATGTATCTGAGAGTTATCAGATCTCTATTAAGATATTAGCAAGAAGGCATATTCCCACTGAATTATTAATGTATTTCTACACATTTTGATTCCTTTCACCAAAATTTAAATCTGAACACTTTGCTAACATCTCTCTGTGTGCTTATTTCTGTTCCTCTGCTACCAGCCTAACGACAAATCCTGATACATACTGGCTAGAAGTGTTATAACAATTCCAAGTCCAAGATGCATCTTTTTTATGAATTATAACAAAGACACTTTAAATGTTGTCTAATTCACTACCTCTAGTTTTTATGGTACATTGCCACCCCCCGACATCTATAAAGCTTAGATGCTGTGCAATAGAGTACGAACTTTGTGCACAATACGTCCAAGTACTTTACCAAATATGCACCCACAGGCCTATGGTTATAATTTAAAATCATCTTCCAGATATGGAGATCTAGCAAAGAGCTCTTAACACCCTCACTCACCCTTTTCCCTCTTCACTTCAGCGACTTAAGTTTAGGACCACATCTAGCTCCAAGAGGTGGCTGTAACAAAGGTCACTTCCAGAAGACAGTTCTTCCTAAAAACTACTTTGCTATTTCTAACATAATTTGGGCAGTAAAACTTATCCTTTAATACCCAGCAATATTAACTAACATGTACATATAGAACCAACAGCAAGACAGTCTGAACTCACATAAACCTCCCTCTCTGCATACTTCCCCTCCTGCTCCCCATGAATAGCCAGCACACTCTCCAAGACATCAAGTTTGACAGTTCCATTCTCAAAATACAACCATTCCTGTGAAGTAATAAAAAATATTTAAAGCGCATTATATTAGTCTGTGACTTCTACATGTGTGAAGTTTATTTTATTTTTTAATTTTGGTATCGGAGATCGAACTCGGGACCTAGCACTTGCGAGGCAGGCGGTGGCATCACTGAGCTAAATCCCCGGCCCATGAACTTTAAACATCTAGAAAGACTAGATGTTTCCAGTAAGAACTTAAAATGTCTCACATGTATAATGGCATTGAGTAAATTGCACACATATACTTAACAAAGGCTAAATTTTAAAGTATCATCCAAATAGGAGCACTCTTGTCTAGAGCCCTTTCCCCTTTCCATCTTTTTTAACCCAGGGGACAGATATATGGATATGTAATACTTACAGGGGGCTTTAACAATTTCACTTACTAAGTGGTTTTAAGAACATTCTAATGAATTTTAACACAAAGGTGTATACAACATGTTAGTTTACTAATTCTACTGTCATACACTGGCAACCTCTTTAACATCTAGAAAGACTAGATGTAAATTAGGACTCCTTTGTCCTTTATATACAACTATATACATAGAAAAGTGAAACAAAATGCACAGACATAAGGGGCAGTGGTCAATCTTGCTTCACCTAAACCACATTGATTTACAACCCTTTGTACTTCCTTCCTCCCTCTAAGGTCAGAGTTTCTTTTCACACCTTTAATTTAGACCTCTCTGTACACCTTGCAGTGCCTTCTTTTTCTTTGATAACCCACTCATCATTGCTATTGTTACTCTTGGTCTTTCTCTTAGCTTAGCTTTAATCTACTAATTTAAACTCCTTTTTATCTGAATGGCATTATGATATTTCTTAAGGGCATCTGAAACGGTAAATAGTACATTCTAGCTGAACTGAACTGACTTTTGAGTCCCACATCCCACAGTGGTGTGTTGAGTTTCTCAGTCTGCACCTCCTTCACTGTGCAGATTTGTGGGTATCTGGTCACCTGTCACCTCGGCACCCTTTCCTCTTTGTACCTCAGGTGGACAAAATCTTGAAAGTGATTCCCCGAGACCGGAAGACATTTCTGTTCTCTGCTACCATGACCAAGAAGGTGAAATTTGCTTTTCTGTTTCCTTCTTTATAAGAATTAATACATAAAAACAGTAGTAAAAATACTTAAAAATAAAGACAACATTTAGGAAATAGTTTACTATTCTTGTTTTTCTTTCTTTAGGTGCAAAAACTTCAGCGAGCGGCTCTGAAGAATCCTGTGAAATGTGCTGTTTCTTCCAAATACCAGACAGTTGAGAAATTACAACAGTATTATCTTTTTATTCCCTCTAAATTCAAGGTAAAGTGTGTACTTTGATCATTCCTGCCTCTCCCTTTTCTCACCAAAGCATCTGAACATGTGTCAACTCTTTGAATAGCTGAGAGTGTGATAAAGGTAGAGTTCCCTCTGTTTGCTTTAGGCTGCCTGTTGTGTTTGTACTTATTGCAGATAAGCCAGACGTTCCAGGAATTCACAGCGAATTAAACCACAGAGTTGAAGTCCTGATGTAATGATATCATTACTTCCCAGCCCCATCCTCGAGGGAGTTTTTCCTTAGCTTATTATGTGTATTTTCCCTCTTTCTCACTCTCCTCCCTCCTTCCTTCCCTCTTCCCTTCCTGCCTTTCTTCCTTCCTTCCTTCCTTTTTTTTTTGGTAAAAGGAGTCGCTAAATTTGTGCTTTAATATCAGGACTTCTGGTTGCTGAGCTCTGCTCTCCCAGGGCGAGACCTCAGCCTGGGTTGGGGCACATGACTTGCACACAGGGCACAGTACTGGTTAAGAAGTGCAAAGCTCCCGGGCGTGGTAGTGCACTTCTGTAATCCCAGTGCTCAGAAGGCTGAGGCAGAAGGATCACCTGAGTTCAAAGCCAACCTGGGCTACACAGCAAGGCCCTGTCTCAACAAAGGTGGATGATTGAGAAGCACCTGTATAGGCTTAATCTTTCCTTAAATGTGTATATCAGGTCTCCATCCCTTTCTGGTTGGATTACATGTTTTGTTTTGGGTTTGTAATTTAGGATACTTACCTCGTTTACATTCTAAATGAACTGGCCGGAAACTCCTTTATGATATTCTGTAGCACCTGTAACAACACTCAGAGAACAGCTCTGCTACTCCGAAATCTCGGATTCACAGCCATTCCCCTCCATGGACAGATGAGTCAGGTAAGGGTTCTTCGGCATCACTGGCCATGGAATGGTAGCTCATCTTATAGTAGCAGAGTTGTCCACTGAGGACATACAGCGTTAATGCCGGCTTTGAAGTATTGCTCTGAAAGCTTGCTTTCCTTTATCAGAACAAGAAGAGGCACAAATTAGAGTATTTTATAGGTAGTTGTCTTGTTTGCAAGCTCTTACGTTGATTTATTTAGCCTTAGTGGTAATAGTGATTCTTTGGTCTCTAAAGACTTTTAATAAATTACTTTCCAATTATGTTTCTGTCGTGTTAAACAATCTCTTTTTTTTAAAGTACATAATATTTTTATTGAAAAAAATGTCTAAACCTCACAGATTATAATAACTCCCCTATTCTGGTAACCATTTTCATTCAAGGACTGGAAGAGACTTGCGCACATTAAACAGATTTGATCACAGGGTTACAAACCACAATGAGCAGTTCAGTGCAATTATTGATTCCCATTCCCTGAGAAACTGCCCTAAATTTTAAATCCAGAAGACAAAATCCCAGAGATTTCATAAGATCTACAAATATAATGAGCAAAATATTCCAATAGTTTTACTAAATGCTTCTTCGGGGCATAATGGAGAAACATAGAAAAGGGAACAGCTGAGTTTCTAGGTCACACATGGAGAAAAAACTGAGCACAAAACCAAAAAAACTGCTTTTCCAAAAACCTCCCAATGGCCCAAAGTGAGACACACAACTTTTTGGGGAGGAAGGGGGTGTTTTTGAGACAGGATCTGGCTATATAGTTTAGGCTGGCCTCAAACTTTTGGTGATCCTCCTGCCTCAGCCTCCTGCATGTTAGGATCACAGGCTTGCGCCACCACACTGGACTACATAGACAACAACTAACCACACTTCAAGAGCCTCAGATCTCATTAACTGTCACTGATGTTGGCACCACACTAATTAAATCAGTAGTGCAAACACTGCTGTCTTTGGCATTCCTGCAGTGTTTTTATTTAGAAGAAAACCTGCAGAAAGAACTCTGCTTACACCACAGCAAGGTAGCAGGAAACAGGGTACCATGGGTAATAAGGGCCTGATCTATTTTGTATTATTACTTGTAGCCTAATTGTTAAATATTTTTTATTGCTTCTCTATTTCTTGTGACTTGTGAAGCTCCATTTTGGACTTAAAGGGAAAAAACTCTAAAAAATGTTCTCTCTTGGTTCTTGTGTTTAATGTGTCTATTTTGTATGTTTTGCATTCCAAGATTCCTTGTTTTGCAAGATTAAAATGTTTCCCATTTCTTTTCCCTTTTATTATTAGTGCCCATTAATATTTGGTTTCAATGCATGTATTTTGGTAATATCCACCCCCTTTATCCCTACACCCTTTCCCTTCTCTAATAGTCCCCTTCTACTTTCCTGTCCTCTCTCTTAGATCCCACCTATTAGAGAGTTCTCATTTCTTTTTCATCATTTCAGAGCAAGCGTCTGGGATCCCTTAATAAATTTAAGGCCAAGGCTCGTTCCATCCTTCTGGCCACTGACGTTGCAAGCAGAGGTTTGGACATCCCTCATGTAGATGTAGTTGTCAACTTTGATATTCCGACTCATTCCAAGGTGGGTCCTGTTGCTAGCCGGACATTCTAGTCTCTAAAAGTTTATTTCTTACATGTTTTCTTAATGAAAACAGTCTTTGTCCTGAAATTAGTTAAGTATCAAAGCCTAAGGAAGGCCTTGTTTATTTATTCTTACCGTCTTGCTCAGGACCATGTATGTAACGCCAGTAAATGTGAGTGAAGGTGGCCAAGGAGAGTTAGTTACTGGATGTGCTCATTCAGGGGGGCAGATTCTGATCTGTGTCAGTCTCTTCTTGAGCAGTGACAGTGTTTGGTTCCTAGTGAATCTCAGGGTTTCTCAGCTTTGGCACCATCGCCGCTTTGGGGCTATGAATTCTGTGTTGTGGGGCTGTTCCTTGCATGTAGCCTCCCTCTTCTCTGCTCACTAGATGACAGTGTCACATACTCTGCCAGCGTGACAGCCAGAAATGTTTCCAGACATTGCCAGATGTCCCCTGGGGATGACACAGTCACCCCCGCTTGAGAACTGTGTACCTCTTGGCTTCATATTTAACTGCATAGATAAGGTTCTGTCTCATTTGATTTTCCCAGCACCCTTTATGTTTGGGCATGTATCTCTGTCCCTACTTTATAAATAGAAACCAAGGTTCAGGGAAGTTATGTTGTTTGCAGATAAAACTGTAGCTGGCGTGTAGCTCTTTATCATGTTGCCTCTAACCATGGAAATATGCTTTATAGATTTGTCTGGTTTTTTTGTGTGTGTGGTACTGGGATTGAGCCGAGGGCCTTTGCAGGGTCTCACTAAGCTGCCCAGGCTAGACTTAATTGCAGTCCTTCTGTCTTAGCCTCTCAGAGTGCCTGGCCTGTTTTCTTTCATAGATTTACAGCAAGACTGCATACGTAGTTGTTTGCATATAATCCATGTAACCTGAATGTATTCATCCATTTTGCTGCAGGATTACATTCACCGAGTAGGTCGAACAGCCAGAGCCGGGCGCTCAGGGAAGGCCATTACTTTTGTCACACAGTAAGTAAATCAGCACTGGGTGTAGCAGTGTGGAGAGCAGACTAGAATGCTGGGGGAGCGCCAGAGAGCAGACTGACTTGGAACTTGGCTCTGCTGTTTGCTTTGCCAGTCACTTAAACGCCCTCACCCTGGTTTTTATACAAGAAAAGTGGTACCTGTTGTTTCTCCCAGTGGCCAGAGTTGGAGAGTAGTGACCTTTCCCTCAATTTAGAAAGTACTGAAATAACTATGTCTGATTTTGTCTTTTAAGGAACACATTTTTATGTACCCATGGCTTTTCTGTGAATAAAGACTACTGTGGATAGGGCCGGGGATTTAGCTCAGTGGTTTCGTCACCTGCTGCGCAAGCGCAAGGACCCGAGTTCAATCCCTGGTACCAAAAAAAAAGACTACTGTGAATAATTTTCTAATAGGCCATGCACAGAGATGGGCCCCCACCCCATACTGGGGATCGAACTCAAGACCTTGCGCTTTCGAGGTAAGCATGCTCCACTGAGCTAAATCTCAGGCCCTGAAGATTGCTTTTGATTAGTATTTAGAAAAGCATGATTATGTTCTTTATTGTTTAATACTGGCTTTATACTGCACTGTATTGTAGAGTGACTTAGAGTTTGAGAATGGACAGCTGTCTGTACTGTCAGTCAACCAAAGCCATGCCACTTTCCCTTCCTCAGGTACGACGTGGAGCTCTTCCAGCGCATAGAGCACTTAATTGGGAAGAAGCTGCCTGTCTTCCCAACGCAGGATGACGAGGTTATGATGCTGACAGAACGTGTGACTGAAGCCCAGAGATTTGCCCGGATGGTATGCAGCTTGCTGTCCTTTTCGCCATCCTCTGTGCGGCGAAGCTAACTGTGCACTGGATACTGTGTTAAATCAATCCTTATTAGAACCTGAGAAGCTGGGTATCGTTTTATTCCAGGATTAAGATGCACAAAAACTAAGGTGCAGAGAGGTAGATAGTGAGACCATGTAGTCCCTGGCTGGGTCAGCGTTTGGACCTGGGTCTGAGCAGAGTGACCACATTCTTAGCCAGCGCTCATGTGCGGGGTTATATGTGATGAGAAACTCGCCAGACTTGAGTTTGGAAGACCTGGCTGCTGGGCTGTGAGCTTGGAAGGACGATTTGCTTGACCTTAGGATCGGTTCTTCACCGTTAACTGGGAATAATCCTTGCCTTGAATACCTGTGGTGTTTGGTGAGCTCTGGAAGAGCTGGTATAACCCTCAGTAGTAGTAGTGGTAGGAGCAGCATTGGCCAGGAGGAGAAAATTCTAGAGTAACCTTTGGAAGTGAGTGTTCTCTGCTTCCTGAGCTCTAGACCGAGAGATGGAGAAGCTGCCCACAGGTTGCTTTCTGAGCAGCTGAGGTGCAGGCTTATTTTACTTCTCTGTCCACATGGAATTTTTTGTTTGGTATTTTTGTTGATAAAAGTGCTACCTGTGCATTAGAAAAGGAATTTAGAAAATACAGAAAGGCTGAAAGTAGTAAATGAAGCCAGGCATGTGGTGCATGCCTGTAATCCCAGCATTCGGGAGGGTGAGGCAGGAGGAGCGCCACAAGTTTGAGGCCAGACTGAGCGGTAGTGAGTTCAAGGCCAGCCTGAATGTATAGCGAGACCCTGCCTCAAAACAACAACAATAATAAAAGTAGTAAATGAAAAGCTAAACAACTCTCCATAGAGAACTATTGGTAGCACTTGGCTATTTTTCTTTCTTTAGCCATAAGTGGAATATGTATTGAGCCCAGGACCTTCACACGGAGCTGCATCCTCAGCTTTTTAAAAAATGTTCTGAAACAGGGTCTGGCTGAGTTGCCCAGGATAGGCTTAAACTTGCAGTCCTCCTGCCTCAGCCTCTTGAAGTGCTGAGATGACAGATGTGTGCCACCATACCGGGCTGTGATCCTTTCTCTATGTCCCCACTTTCACACTCCTAACCTTCCCCTCCCCTCCCCTGGGACCACGTCTTGATGGCTGCAAGGAATTCCATCACACACATGTAATGTGATCCACACTGATGGATGTTTGTTCTTTTTTCCAGCTTTTTAAATTTTAACTAGTATTGTGTTGAACATCCTAATATGTGTAGTTTTGGATACTTGTTTTCTTACATTCCTAGAGGTAGAATTCTTAGGCCAAGAAGCACTAAAGTTGAATTTATAGAGAATGCCAAATTAGAGGTAAATTTTGCCACTCCTTGACTAATACTGGTTATTACCTCTCTCTGTTTTCAATTTCTTAATCTTTATTCGTACATGTTTGTGGTACATGATGAATACATTCACTGGGGAGTTGGTGCATCTAGGTACAGTAGCACTTTGTTTATTCCCCTTCCCTGTGTGTCTTACATCTTTGCCAGTCTGTCATGTGGAAGTAATGGCCTGTTGTTTTACTTTATGCTCTGCTCACTAATAAGGCTGACATGTTTGCACAGTGGGAGTTGCGTCCCACTCCTTTCCCAGATCAGGGGCTGGGGAGTTTCTCAGGGAGTTTTCCCCTGACCTGAAGGGGAGGGACTTCACCCGAGGTGAAGGTGACTCACTGTCAGTTGGATCCTTTCTGCCTCCTGCAGGAGTTAAGGGAACATGGTGAAAAGAAGAAACGCTCTCGAGAGGATGCCGGAGACAACGATGACATGGAGGGCGCCATTGGAGTCCGGAACAAGGTGGCCGGAGGGAAGATGAAGAAGCGGAAAGGCCGCTAGTCACTGTCACAGGGACTCGTGTCCTGCTCTGTCTGTAAGCAGGGATCAGAGAGGAGAATGAAACGCCTCCTCCACCGGAGCTCCTCACAGCGGAATCTGTGGGAATCACGCCCAGAAACTGCCCACCCCTCTGAGCGTTGGGTGTCATCGCTGCTGCATGAGCTTTACAGCACCAATGGCAGGACTCGCCGTTCTTCATCTTCAGTTCCTTGCTGGTGACATGAGCGGTCCTGCCCCTCTGTCACTTCACACAGACCTTGTGCCTTTTTCAGCTGCAGGTCAAGGATGTGAGTGATGAAGCACACGGCCAGTCACTAATGCAAAGACAATTGAACATTCACAGGTGGTATTTATGTAACTTAGCTTGTGTTTTGTTTGGGCTCGATGTAAGACAATATTATTTTAAAAAGATTTAGACTTCTTGGAGACCTTGATATGAAAGGGCTTTTTAGATTTAAGTAAGATCTTGCTCCAAGGTATAGTGGTGCATGCTTGTAACCCCAGCACTGGAGGAGGATTGCAAGGCTTGTTTTGTTTTGTTTATCTTAAGGCAGGGTCTCTATGTGTCTGGCCGACCTTGAACTCACAGTGATCCTCCTGCCTCAGCCTCCCGAGTGCTGGGATTACAGGTGTGCACCACCACGCCTGGCCAGGATTGCAAGTTTGAGTCTTGCCTGGGCAATTTAATGAATTAGCAACACCTTGTCCCCCCAAAAATAGGTAAGAACGTGACAGTGGTGGTGAAGTGGTTCATTTATTGGTTGTTTTTAATAAAGCTAAACATTATAGTATGACTTTAAAATTCAACAAAGGAACAGGTATGATGGATAGCTTCGAAGGAGAAGTCCTTAAAAGGAGGCTGTGTTTTTCTTGAGGATGGAGCAGATCCCATCAGTAGGACCATAAACATCTTTAGATCCTAAATAGATTCACTCCCCGATTGCAAGTCAAGTCTGTGGTTAGGAAGGGTGGTTTGACACGTGGTCTCCTGTCCCCCATGGGTGTGAGTAAAATCAGTGTGTCAGCAGTGGGGCAGTGCTGAGGCTGCTCCCGTCCACTGTCACCAGTGCCCACGCTGAGCTGGCGAGAAGTCCTCACTGGCTGGTGCTGGAGGCCTGGCTGGGACGGGAGGGTTGCTGGAACTCAGCTTTCAGCTTCCCAGCCACAGACAGTCTTGTGTTCTGAGGAGTTTTCCACACGGAAGATGCCGGGTAATTTTTGTTGACTCTTTATCAATTTTTTTAGAAGAGAATGTATCTGGATTGGCAGAGCCAGGGAGAAAGATTCCACCTGGGAAGGGTTAAGATTGGGAATGAAGTTGGGAAGAAGAGAAACTTTCCATGTGCATCTTGAAGGAAAGTATGTTCTAAAAGTTGCAGTATTTTGTGAGAAAATTACAAGGCAGTAACATTCTCTGTGGTTGTCCCAGGCTGATCCATTTCATGCAGAACTTTTTAAATATACAGGTGAGCCTGGTGTGGTGGTGCACACCTGTAATCCCAGGACTCGGGAGGCTGAGGCAGGAGGATTGCAAGTTCAAGGTCAGCCTGGGCAACTTAGCAAGACCTCTCCCTAAAAGGGGTGAGGATATTGCTTATTGGTAGAGTGCTCAAGGTTCAATCCCCAGTACTACTTGAATAAATAGGGTGCTTTCTACTCCAGATACATCCTGATAAGATGAACCCTGTGGATATTGGGGTTTGTGAATAGAAATACAAAATATAGCACATGGCTTATTTAGTTTCTTATGAATTTCATTGCTGTTCATTATGCTACATTTGAAAGGTAAATTAGAGGAGTCAGGACACAGAAAAAGAAAAGGAGAAAGGGGTAGAAACTCAGGCAGGTAGTTGAGTGGGGCCGTACTTGTGACTTACATATTGTGCCCACCGCTTGGAGCTGACTCTCCACAGACATGGAGACTGATGGGACCTCAGGGCAGCTCTGGATGGACAGCAAGTTTATCTCTGAGCCGATGGATGGTGGTTGTTGATTCAGCTTACTGGTGAACTTCAGAAGCAAGTTGAAGTTGGATTGGGGTACCACTGGGGGGTCAGGAGTGACTGGAGTTACCCTGGAGGATATCTGAACTTTTTTATAGGCAGCGGTCTCTGACCTGGGGTCTGGTTTCCAAACAGGTTGGAAACCACTGCCCAAGGGCTGAGAATATAGCTCAGTGCTAGAGATCTTGTGTAGCACGTGAGAGGACCTGGGTTCAATCTCCAGCCCCATAAAAGAGCAAAATAAAACCCCAAACCCCCAAAAGCAAAGTGGCCATTGTGAAGGGCAGGAGGTACAGAAGTACATGAGATCCTTTCGTAGACAAGAGCAAGGCTTTGGGTCCTCCCTACAGGTGCTCGCTTGCCTCCTCTTATGAGGCCTTGCTGTTGAAACTTGCTGTGGTGTGTGCTCATTCCTACAACTGCTGGAACACAATACCATCAACTGGTAGTATCTTAAAACAGCAGAAATTAATTATCTCACAGTTCTGGATTCTCCGAGTCCAGCACCAAGTTGTTGACTGGGCCAGGCTCCACCTGAGGCCTCTGGAGAAGAACGCTTCCCAGCTTCTGGTGGCTGCTGGAAGTGTTGGGGCCCTTGGCTTGTGGCAGCACGTCTCCGCCTCTGCCTCCATCTTTGCGTGGGCTTATGTCCTGTGGGTCTCTGTGTCTTCACATGGCCCTCTTAGAAGAGGACTAGTCACTGGATTTAGGGTTACCCTAATCCAGTATGACCTCATGGGTAAAGATTCTATTTCCAGTTATATGGGCCATTGAGGTTTTGGGTAGACATGAATTTTTGGGGGGACACTAAACCCAGTACAGGATGTCTTTGTTGCCTTGTACATTCTTTGGGATTTAGGATTGTATTGTAGAATAGAAATGATGGGTAGACTTAGTTATAAAGAAAGTAGAGAAGACAGAGATAGGTCTTCAGAAGTATGGGATGGGAAATGCAGAAATAAAACATGCAAGATGACATTCTCTTCAATGAAAGGAAAATTGCCTTTATCGTCAGTATGTCAAAGGATCTAGATTTGATAATTTTCTAGTTCTACATTTTCTAATTTAAGAAACTGAACCTTGAAGCAATCTTTCTCCCCAACTGTGAGTAAATATGTAAACATTTATGACTTAATAAAGGGAGTATCTTGTAGCAGTCACGTAACAGCAGCCCAGAGAAAAATTTCCTCTTCTTATATAATCATAAAGGTAACTTACAGAGTATTCCTTGTACGCAGTTGACATAATACCTTCATGATCAGTGTGTGCCAGGTTTTACTTCCGTGGCGCTGCAAGTGTGAATGAGGAAGACACCTTTCTGTCTTAGGAAAGACCTTGGGACCCCATGGGGCCTGGAATCCAGGGCACTCAGAGGGGTCCAGTTGTTTCTAGGGGTCTAGAGCCACCTAGATTGTGATTCTGCCTCAGTCTCAAAAACATGAATATCCCAGTTTGGCTTACTAGCCGGAGACCTTTCCAGGCAGCTTCCTGCCCACAGTTTCCACTGGCCCAAGGCCCTCAAAGCCCCGGGAAGTGGGATCAGAAAGAACTGCCCGGGGGTGCGGTGTCACTTACAAAGAAGGGAGGGATTCAGGTCATTAAAAGCAGGCAGAACAGCGTCAAAACTGTGTCCCTAATGCTGCATGAAGAGCATGCAAGAAGGCCTAGCTCACGGAGGTCTTGAAATGAGATCTAGCTTTGGGGTGGGGAATATGTCAGCATGTGAGACACCTGGCCGGAGCAGCAAGAGACTCAGACGGGGCACTAGAGATTCAGGGGTTCCCACACCTGCATTCCTTTTCCGGCCTCCCCTGTCTCAGGAACGCACTTAAAGTACAGCTAAAAATAGCTGCAGAAACTTGAGGCCCGGGAAACAGCACCAGCCGTGGCACCGAGGGTAAGGACTGACTTGTGGGAGCTGGGAGGAGACAGGAAGAGAATGGGGTCAGCTAGAGGCCGTGCCATCTCGAATGTCTTCAGATTCTTGGAGCTTTTGTCTGCCCATAGCCACCTGATCGCCTGACACCTTCCAAAAGCAAGGGCTGTCCACCCCGTCACTGCTGCCCTTGAACAACCTGTTGAAGGGCTGGAGGATCAGGAAGGATGCAGGGATGCCACAGTGGGAAGACTTGGTCAGGAGACTGATTCCCTCTGCTGCTGTGACCTGTGCCTTCCTGAACCTCACGGAGCTTTTTCTCACTTGTTAATACGGATATGAGACCCCTTGTCCCATCTTCCTCACAGGCTGGAGCCCAGTGTATAAAATTCTGTTCTCTGCCTCCTTTCCTTCCACTGTGGGCCATCTCCCAGCCACTGTGCCATGTACTCGAGGACAGTACTGAAGGGCAAGATCAGGTGTCCATGGAGAGCTCGGTCTTAGTGTTGTATTGTGATTGTGCTGGCTCCCCACAGGCCAGGGACCGTGGCTTAATGACGAATGTAACCAACGTCTTCCAAGGCCCATCACAGTGGATGCCCAGTTCTACCATTGGCTGAAACTGCACACACTGACTCTAGCTGTTTGAACAAATACGAAAGATGGATATTAGTACTCCCCCTGAACACTGTGCAGCCCGTGGCCACATTGCCCTATAGTAGCTGTGAGGTCTTGGACAAGTTATTCAGTCTTTTTGAATTTAAATCTCTTTGTCTGAAGAACCATAGTACTTACCTTACAGGGTTGTGAAGTTTAAATGAACTATACTCTAGCCATTATTACTTTTTTTTATTTTTACAGTTGCAGGGGGTAGGTGACTTGCCTAGGTCATACAGTTAACTGGCAATGGGCTAAGTAAAAATTTGCAACCAGATTTGATTCTAAGTTTTCTCTTACACTGAATGTGTGTACTTGTATCAGGGTATGTATGTATAATTCCATGTTATAGTATTCAATTAATAAATTGCTTATTGAATAAATGACTAAACAGCATTATTCTTCCTTTGGAAAAAATATGTCCCACATAACAAGTTATGCAAATAAGCATTCAGAGTCCAATCTATTTTTAAATTGACAACAGCCACATAAGAGAACGTGAGATTTTCATTTTTACCAGTAGATGGCAGAAGGAAGAAAAGATGACCTCCATGGGAAAGAGTTTTGGGCAGAAAGAGTGATTAACTGGGTGAGGACTGAGCCAGAGTGCAGATTAAAAGGGCTCTCAGTATTGCATGTGGCCCACAGTGACTAAGGTAGTGGTCAGGGCGGGTATGAGAACCACCCGGAAGATATTTGAAGGGTGTCAGCTTTCAAGAAGTCTGGCTAGATTGATCCAAAGATGGGGGTTGGGAAGACTGACATAAACTAAAATTCAGACAGCAGAGAGAGTTCAGTAAGAAAGTTCATCAGGAACGGTGGCACATGCTTATAATTCCAGCTACCTGGGAGGCTGAGGCAGGAGAATCCCAAGTTTGAGCCTAGCTGGTGGAACTTAGCAAGACCCAGTCTCAAAAATTTAAAAAATGTCTGGAGGTGTAACTCAGTGGTTGAGTGGTTGCCTAGTGTGTAACAATGCCTGGGGTTCCATCCCCAGTACCAGTGAAAAATAAGCAAGCAAATAAAGTCTGTGTTGATTCCTATTCAGCTATAAACAGATTTATTCTTTTCTAAAGTCTGTCCTTCCTTCTTTCCTGGGATGTTGATCAAGTCTCTAGCTCTGATTCTTCCCTCCTCTACCTTCCACAGTATACGGTTTGGGAATACTGACAGTTCCTCCCTGCCTACCCCAGGGCATGTTGTTTATGAGTGTAGATTGCTCTGCACCATTCATCTCCTCCCACCGGCCGGATCCCTCTCTTACTGGTAGGTCCAGTAGGCTTGGTCCATAGCCCTCCAAATAAGCCTGGTGCCGAGTGGCTGGTGAGCCACGCCATTCATTTTGGTTTTGGCCCAGCGTGATGGGGAATTGTCTTATTGGATTCAGAAGAGCAGTAGCAGCAGTCAGGCGTGGTGACTGGGTAGCAGCAGCGGTCAGTCCGGGTTAGAAATACTGTACAGGACCGTGGAGCTGGGAGTGTAACATGTGCAAGGCCCTGGGTTCAGTCCCCAGCACCTCACCCTCACACCCCACCAAAGAAAGGAAATACTGGGGAATTCCACTCCTGTGGACTTGAACACTGCCCTCTCATCTGTTGGAAATGAGCCCCAGACTCAATTTGTCAGTGCAGATAATAAAGCACTTAGACATCAAGAAATCCTGACAAGGCTTTTACTTTTACTTTTGCAAAAGGGTGCAAGCCCACCCCAGCAGTGAGGCAGGACAAAGGAGGGGTGCCCCTTTTATCCCTGATGAGGAGGAGCAGCTGACCTCTTTCCCATTGGCTGGCTCGGAGGTTCACAGTCTATCCTGATTGGCTAGTTCAGATGGCCCAAGGGGGATCTGAGGGGTTGCTGAGGGGAAGGGAGAGCAGAGTGGAGGGGGACGTGGAGACCAGAAAATTCCTGGGTCCCGTGATAAGCCGTCTTTGGTTTGTAGCTGTGTTCTCAGGATTGGAACAGAGTGGGCATTTTCTGTAACTCAGTGTGTTCAGGAAGGTCTGTCCTGGAGTCCAAGATGGAGTCATTCCTGTTCAATAGAGAAGGCAGAACTTACTATTTCCCACACGCCCTCAGCGTTCCTTTGGGCAAGAAACATTTCTGCTCAGCACTTGACATTGTCAAAACTCTCTAAGCCACACTATTAAATCCAGTGCCAACTTCAAACCAACAACCATGTTGTGTTTTCTGGGTGGGTCAAGAGACCAGGGACTCTCATAAGGCTTCCTATTTGACATATTTCTCTTTGTACAACTGTGATTGTTGTTTGTTTCTAAACCACTGATGCAGCGCAGTAAGGCCTGGGAGAGTCAGCATTTGGTACGGATTCTCACTCAGGGTGCTGGGCACATTCTATTTTATGTACTGGCTGTTATGACTCATTTCTTGAGGAAACCAGGGAACAGAAAAGCTTGTTTGTGAAATGTGAGAAAAGCAGCTTGGTCATCTCTTACACTCTCTCTTCCATGATTTCCTTAACTTGCCAGAGGGTGTTGAGGAATTGTACAGGGTGTGCTTATGCTGAGAACGTGAAATTGAGGTTTGGTCACTTCATAGTTAATCTGTGGTTTCTGTTTCTGTGTTGTTAGTTTTGGTGGACCTTGGAGGGCTGGGAGTAAGAAGGCGTGGGAAGGATACCCCTCTTCACCATGGCTTTATATGGCCACTAAGTCAATAGAAAAGAAATAGATTTGACATTTGGACTCTGCCATAATATTCACAACAAACCCCACACAAAGTCAGAATGTTAGGATTGAGAGGACTTTGGTGATCAGCTAGACTTTGTTCATTATTCCTTGGAGGATACTTAAGTTTTAAAACTTGTGTTTGTTTTATATATGCCCACAGCTTGTAGCATTTTAGAGAGACATTCAAACAGATTCCTCATGTTAAAAAAATATGGTTGGAATTTTTGTCCATCAGAGGCCAGGGGCAGAGACAAAATGCTTTTCAGGACCAGCAGCTTCAAAACTGAAACCTCTTTTTGAGAAGAATGGCAGGAGATATCGAGGTGAATGTGTTTTAACTTTCTTAATAAATGCCCATGTTTTGGGGGCTGTCAAGGGAGGCATGTGGGTCAGTCACACTTCTACCTCCCTGCTGTGGCATCTGCATCCCAGGGAACTCAGATATGGTCACTAAGGGCAGCCGCAGAGGGACAGAAGATGCCACAGGGACAAGGTTCTGGCTGAGGTTTGTAACAGCGCACCTGGGTGGGGTGCAGGGAGAGAGGGGAGGGGAAAAGGACGTCATGCTAAGATTTATAGCTGCGCATAAAGCTCAGTGTTTATGGTGCCCAGCAGCCCAGCAGTCATTTCCTGCCCCTTCTCCTGCTCTCTCTACACACCCTGAGTCACTTGTTGGTGAGTAGCCTATGGCCTGTGAGTCATTTCTCTTCCCTATGACCTAGAGGAGTATTTTGGGGTGAGGGGTGGGGCACAGGCATGCAGGAGAAAATAGATGGCATGACAATTTGTTGGGGTGCAGAAGGAAGGCTCTAGAACTTTTACTTATATTTATTTTAACTCACCCATTTCTATTTTTATAATATACAAGAAGTCTCACTAATGATAAATATATACAAATATGACACATGTTAAAAATGCTATGTTGAATACAGGTGTGATATCAAGAAAGCGTGAGACTATAGTTCTATGGAATTATTCAGACAATAGACTTTCAAAAGCGTTATTTTATGTATTGTTCTGAAATTAATTTTCAAACGAAACTCGAATGCAGCCTTAATGTGTTTAAATTTTCAGGTTGTTAGAACCAAGTGAGGCCTCCAAATTCTGATTTCAAACCAGAACTTATTCTCCAGTTTCTTAAGAGTTCATACAAGACGTGTGAGCTATTTGCACTGTTTCCAGCGCCTAGAAGAAGTCCTGTCTTTTTTTTGGTACCAGGGAATGAACTCCGGACCTTGCACTTTGGAGGTAGGTGTTGGAACCACTGAGCTAAATCCCCGGCCCAAGAAAACTTGTCTCCACCCAGCAATAAGATCAACATAAAGATCAAGTGCTCTGTATTGGACGGAGATATTGAGAACTTGGAGTGGTCCTCGCATGCTTATCAGAAGTTATGATTAGTCCATGTGAGTGTGCAGTGACATTTCCTGTTGCTGGGCCACCCGGCGTGTGAAGCCTCTCTGCTTTTGAGGGACTTCCTCTGGAGGGATGAATTAGTGAGGGGCTCTACACGCCCATGTTCTGATCTCTGACACCACCACCATTAGACCTGAGCAAAGGAGGCCCTGGCCTGGGCCCTGCGCCTTGGGAGGCCCTGTGGTTTGGAGTGTGTTTTTCAGTTTTCTAAGTCCTCATCTGTGCTGGGAATATGTAAGAGTTCCCGTTGTTCCCAACCTTGTCAGACTTGATTTTAGCTCTTTTCTACCATGGATTTTTTTTTCTCATGGGAAATCTCACCCCCTACTATCACTTCTCAACATACTTACTGAGCTACCAATGACATATGATAAACCACACATGTTTAAAGTGCACTATTTGATACATTTTAACATATGTGACATATGCACACATCCATAACCCTAGGACCACAATTAACACAGTGAACATGCTCGCCATCCCCAAAATGTTTCCTCTTAGCTCCCTCCTGCTCCTCCTCCCCCTTCCTCCTCCTCCCTCTTCCTCCTCCTCCTCCTCCTTCTTCTGCTTCAACAGGGTTTTGCTGTGTAGTCCAGGCTGGCCTTGAACTCACTATGGACTGAAGGCTGGCCTCGAACTCATGGCAATTCTCCTGCCTCAGCCTCCCAAGTGCTGGGATTACAGGTGTGCCCCACCACACCAGGATTCCTTCCTCTTCTCTCCTGCCTCTTCTTGGTTCTCTCTCTTTAGCTAACCCTCCCCCAGGAAACCATTGATTTGCTTTCTGTCAATATACAAATTAGTTTGCATTTTTTGAATTTTGTTAAAATGGAATCATTAAGTATATACTTTTCTAATAGTCCAGCTTCTTTGATTGAGATAGAGTTTCATTCGTGTTGTGTATGTCAGTACTTCATTTCTATTGCTGAGTGGTGTTCCATTATATGGGTGTATTGTACTTTTTTACTTTTTGTTTTAGTAATATCTTTGATAGGATTTGGTGTCAGGGTTATGTTGGCCTCATAAAATGAATTGAGAAATGTTTCCTTATTCTTTTTTGAAAAATTTTTGTAAGATTGATACTATTTTTCCTTATATGTTTTATGGAAACTACTAGTGAAGCTGTTTAGGTCTGGGATTTCAGTTATCAAATCATTTTCTTTAATACATATTGAGCTAGTCAGAGTTTCTATTTCCTCTTCTGTCAGTTTGCATGTAAGCTGTATTTCCAAAGAATTTGTCAAGTTCATTAGAGCAAAATTGGTTCATGTCATTCCTTTATTATAATTTTTATGTCTGTAAGATCTTAAGGAATGATCCTTCATTAATTTCTGATATTGGTAATTTGGATGCTCTGTCTCTCTCTGTCTCTCTCTCCCACCCTCCCTCTCTTCCTCCTCTCTTTTCTCTCCCTCTACTTCTCTTTCTTGCTGTGTCTTCTAGGAATTTATGAATTCTTTACAAAGAGCCACATTTTAGCTGACTTTTCTTCATTATCTCTTTTCTATTGCATTGATTTTGCTATTATTCTGATTAGCTCCTTTTACTTTATTTACTTGTTTCCAGCTTAAGATAGAAGCCTAGATCATTGATTTTTCCATCTTTTCCTAACACAGGCACTGAAAAGTACACACTTGCTCTAAGCACTGCTTTATGTGCATTCTACTAATTTTTTTATTCTACTAATTTTGATATTGTATTTTCATTATAATAATTTTGATTGAAAAATTTCCTAAAGTTCTTGTGATGTCTTTATTGACTTTAGAATTATTTTGAAGAATTGTTTAATTTAAAATATTTGGGGATTTTCTTAACATCTTATCTCTATATTAATACCACTTTAGTCAAAGAATGTATCCTGTATGAGTTTATTCCTTTGCCAGTTTTTGAGAGTATTTTTATGGCCTATAACATGGTTCATTTCAGTCAGCAATTTGAAAGAATCTGTACCCTGGAAATGTTGAATGTGAAATTCTATAAAGGTCAACTAGATTGAATTAACTGTTAATGCCATGGTGTCAGTCAGTTTGACATTGCTTGCACAAAATACCTGACATACACAACTTAATGGAGAAGAGGTTTATTTTGGTTCCTAGTTTCAGAGGTTTATTCAGCTGGCTCCAAGGGAGAAATATTATGGTGGAAGAGTGTGAAGGAGGAAAGCTGCTCACCTCTTGGTAGGAAGTGAAATCAAAGGGAAAGAGCCAAAGAGTAAGGAGACCAGGGGACAGATATACCACTGCCAGGGACCTACTTTCTCCAACTAGGGCCCAGCTTCTAATAGTGAATTCAGCTAATCAACTCATCGATTGGTTAATGCATTGATGAGGTTAGTGCTCTCACAACCCAATCACTTTTCTGGGAATCTCTTGATCCAATCAAGTTGACAAAGATTAACCATTAGATCTTGCCCTGGTGGTACACAACAATAACCCTGGCACTTGGGAGGCTGAGGCAGGAGGATCAAGAGTTCAAGGGCAGCCCTAGGCTACATAGTGAGTTTTAAACCAGCCTGAACTACAGAGTAAGATTCTATCTATAACAGTTAAACAAACAAACAGACAGACAGATAGGACTAACCATCATAAGCCTACTCCCTGTCAACTCAATACCCAATCACATCTCCTTAAACCATACTTAAATTCAAATAAACACAATAACATGGTCATAATTCTGCCTCACATGATGTAACTATCCTGAGTACAACTGAAAATGTACTGCTTCCCCAAAGTCCCAACAGTCCTAGCATTTCTCAAAAATCCACATCCCAAGTCTCCTCTGAGATTTAAAGCAAACTCTTAGTTGTGAGCCCCAGGAAAAATCAAAGTGCAAATACAGACTGCCAAGAAACAATGGCACAGAGTAAACATTCCCATTCCAAGGGGGAAGAGAGGGGAATAGAAAGTAATCAAACCAAAACAATACTGAGACCCAGCAGGACAAACATTAAATCCTCCATGTCCAGCACCCAGGGCATGTAGTTGCATGATGTGAGGTCCAAGGGGCTTGGCAGCTCTTCCTCTTGTCAGTTGCAACCCACATAACCTTTCACTTGTACTCTCTGTTCACTACCTGTGGCTTTCTTTGGCAGATGTTCCACATTTCCTGGCATCTCCAACTTCCAGAGGCTTCTACTGAAGCTTTGGTTTCACTCTCACAGCTTTGTGTATTGCCCTCTCAGGTGTTACCTGCAGGGAATCTGACCTATTCCACACTGTCTGGACTCACAGGCATTCTTTTAAAATCTGAGTAGAAGCCTCCGTGACTCTGCAACTCTTACATTCCGCATGCCTGAAAAACCAGCATCCAAAGGATGATGCCACAGTCTGGCACCAGTGGGAGCAGTAGAGAGGCCCCCCTGGATCATGGCTGTAGCAACTTCTGAGTGGCTGGATGGCTGAGTGGAACCAATTCCCTAGTCAGTCCTGCTCAAGCAGGGGACCCAGGAACTTTGCTCTCAAATGAAAAGTTTGCACTTTTACACCTTTGAGTCTGTGATGGATGGGGTCTCACAGAGATGCCCTTAAGGGATGTTTTCTATAGTCCCCATACAAAGTACATGAATTCTTTCTCTTTTAAAAATTTATCTGTATTCTTTTTATTGAGCCACTGTCTTGCTATGTAGTCCAGTCTGGACTTGAACTCACTGAGGAGCTTAGGCTGGCTTCAAACTCCTGATCTTCCTGCATCAGCCTCTGACTGCTGCTGGGATTGCAGGCACATCCTCACATGCCTGGTGTACTAGTTACTTTTCTTGTTGCTGAGAAAATAGTCAAAACCCAAAGTTAAAGGAGAAAAGTTTTATTGTAGCTCACAGTTTGTGGAGGTTTCAGTTCCTAGTTGGCTGGCTCCAAGGCAGAGGAGCATTGCAGAGGAGGAAAAACAGTTCATGGCATGGAAAGCAGAAGGCAGGGGGCAGCAAAAGCAGCAAGCAACAAGCAGCAACAACAGCAGTCCTCCTTCCATCCCACTACCCGCCCACCGTTAGGACAGGTAGCACTCACACTGAGGGTGGGGCACCTTTAATCCTAGCATTGTACTGTAAATCAATCCCAGCATCACATCCTTAATCCTAGCATCACATACTCTATAGATCCAGCTACCTTGGAAAAGTTCTGACTGCATAAGGCTGTGAGGGGACATCTAGATACAAACCATAACACCTAGCTTACTTAGAGTCCTTTCAGTGGCACTAATCTCTTTAGTAACCACATCTTCTTTGACCCCCAACTTTACACGTGCTTCTTTTCCAGCCAAATTGTAAGTTTTTCAAATCTTTTGGCTTGGTTTTTGCTTCTGATTCTCATTGCAAATCTAGCTAGAAGCAGCCAGCAATACCTAGGGCACTGCCTGAATGTGGTGCTACCTTTCAATTTGCTCTGCCAGATGAAGTAGTCTGTTGCTTTTAAACTCAGCCTTGCATAAAGTTTTAGGACAGGGACAAAATGTAGGCAAATTCTTTGCTAGAATGCAACATGAATAGTCGCTAGTTCAATTCCCAAGACAGTCTGTATTCCCATTTGAAACTGGACAAATTCAGGACCTTTTGCTTGCCAGGCAGGCATCGTGCCACTGAGCTATATCCTGGGCCTGTTAGGGGGAAATTAAACACAAGCCATAACAGATATAGATATAGCTATAGATAGATATCTACAACAGTGTTACAGTGTTAGATGTCGAAGGCCATAATTACATCATGAATTCCAGTTGAGATCAGTTGAGGACAGTTATTCATGCAATCATTCACTCATCCACTCATTTATTCAGGATTCCTGCTATGTGCCAGCCCTGTGCTGACCACTGAGGCTGTCCTCATCTCCTGCTGCTCCACCCTAAATTCAGTTAGGATTAGCTGCAGGGTGCTTAGCCTTGTCCATGCTACTCCTCCCTTAGCCGTGACTTCAGAATTTAAGGGATTTTACAGCTTTCCATTCATTTGCTAAGAGGATCACCTTCAACCCAAGCTGTAACGCTCTCTGCTTCATCATCTTGAACTTCCCCAGAGACCTAGAATTAACAATGAGAAGCCAATTTCTCCCAAGACCCTCAGGATTAATCCCATTATGCCTTCCATCCCTGTTTACTTCAGTTACTACTGGAAGTTGAAGAAATGTACACAACCTAGCATGTAATATACTGTTATTATATTAAAAAGAGTAAGTGGATATATATATATATGTGTGTGTGTGTGTATGTACATATATATCTATTTGAATATTATGAAATATTTCTCAAAGAATACACAACAAATAGATAACATTAATACTTCTAGGGAGGAAACTAAGCACTTAGGTGGCTGATAAAGGACTGTTCACTAATAAACTCTTAACCGACTTTTGAATTTTGAACAATGTGAATGCATTTATCCACCAAAAATAAATACACATAAATAAAATGAACAAATAATTTATTGAATGGATATCTCAACTAGGTATGTGAAGGACTGTGAACTATATAAACAGACGGCTGATCACCGTCTCTACCCTTCTGGGACTTGCAGCCTAGTAGGAGTGAAAGAGAAGTATGCAAATTACTACAAAGCAACTGTTGCACTGATAATTGCTAGGTCAAAGAGGGATGGAAACCTATAGAAGCTGATGCCATTTATTATTTAGTGATAGGATCCATTTCCTCATGGCTTGGGACATTTGATTTTTTTTTTTTTTTTGTGGTGCTGGGGATGAAACACAGGGCCTTGCACATGCTAGGGAGGTAAGTGCTCTACCCCTGGCCACACCTTCTGGGCTCTAGCCTGTACACGTTTAGCAAATGCAGGATATGAGGCTGATCTGGGCTTTCTGGCAGATACCTCTCCTCTCCCTCCCATCCCACCTCACCTTTGCTCTTTCTGATCTGGGGCATCACTGAGTGGTTTTGTTTGTGTTTTAATTTTTAAAAATGTTTAACAGCTTGCCAAAGTAGAATTGATATAGCATAACATCCCCCCATTTTAGTTATTTAAGTTTTGGTCTTTTGAGACAGGGTCTTGCTAGGTAGGCCAGGCTGGCTTTGAACTTGCTATTCTCCTGCCTCAGCCTCCTGAGTGCTGGGATTACAGGTGTGTGCCACCACACCTGGCAAAATTCTCCATTTTAATTGTACAGTTCAATGAGTTTTCAATTTATGCAAAGTCACATTAATCTGATTTTAGAACACTTCTGCTGCCCCCAAATTTCTCCTGCCCATTAGCTTTTACCCTTATTGTTTTGACTTTTCGTGTGTGCGCCTGCGCATGTGTGTGTCTGTTTAAGAGGAAAAAGAGTTATGACCTTTCACTCTGGTATTTTCAGCTCAGAACCTCCGCTAGGTAGCATCTTCTTTGCCACACCTTGTGCATCCCAGCCTGGCTTGGTGGCTGGTGCAGCTGACTCCAGCTCTGCCACTGTGGTACATGGTGTGTGACCCTCTCGCTTTCCTTTCCTCCTCCACCTCTCTGCCAACTCAATGTAGATGGCTTGGCTCCCTTTCCTTTTCAGCCTTGATTTTGAAAAACATTCTAAGCACTGAGAACCAGCTGTAAAATGAGGGTAGAGCCTGCATGGTTGAAGCCAAAATAAATGGAACGATGCCACACTCAGGTTTCCTAATTTAGCTTTTATCAGATGCCAAAGTGCACAAAACACAGTGCGATGCACAGAATGAAGCAGAATCTCCAGCTTCGGGGGGCAGTGAGGATGAGCAAACCTGGATAGCCCTGGGAAATGCACCTCAAGGACCTCCCAGGCCTCACCCTTGTGGGTGTGAGAGGGGTCATAGGAGAACAGCTCCATCTGCTATTCTACACCAGGGAAATGTACATTTGTGGGCCTGGGTATGGTGACACAGATCTGTAATCCCAGCACTCGAGGGAGGCTGAGGCAGGAGGATGGACACAAGTTCAAAGCCTGCCTGGGCTACATAGGGAGACCCTGTATCAACAAAGCCCCCCCACCCAAAAAAAACCAAACAAACAAACCAAATGGGCTGGGGATATAGCTCAGTGCAAAGAGCCTGGGTTCAGTTCAGTTCCTAAGCTTCCAGCACCATCGTGCTGTCCTCACCATAAACAGGGCAATGCTGAAAGCACCGTCCAGAGCTCTGTGAGGATTAGACGAATCAGTCATGAGCTGAGAGCGGGTGTCTGTGCTGCTGATTAGGAAGCCAGACAGAGACGAGCCTGACCCTGAGGGTGAGGGTGACATCGACGGTGACACCTGCTTCCGGCCCTTTCTGCTCTTTGGACCTCTTGACCCTGAAGATCAACACTCATCCCTGGGACCAAATCCCATCTCCCGCCTCCTTCCACCTGCCCGCCTCACTCTCTTGCTTCCTTTCTTTGCAGTGTTGCTAAGAATAAAGGTGTGTGCACGCAGGCCCGCTCTGGAGGTGAATTAGTCAATGAGGATTTAGGTCAGCATTCAGTCTCCACTGGAGAGTTGCAATTAAAAAGTGCACAGTTGCAGAATAATTCAGGAGAATTAAAACGAGTGTTGATAATATGGCATAAGTAATTAAAGGATAACCCAATTGATCATGCAATGCTTAATATGTAATTATAAAACAATAACAGCTAAGATTTCTGAGCCCGTGCTCTGTGGCAAATGCTTGGCTCAGTACTTCATTTAATCTGCACAGAATTTCTCTAAGGTAGCTGTTGTCAGCATCTCTCCTTTAGGAGAGGAAGCTAAAACTCAGAGAAGTAGGCTGTTCAAGGTCACAGCTGGTACACTGAGGAAGGAGAGACACAGACAATACAGAGTGAGTGAGTTCACAGAAAGGCAGGTGATCCTGTCAGCCTAAGCAGGGGTTCGGCACCAATTTTTTTTGTTTGTTTGTGAGATAAGGTCTTGCTACGAAGTTCAGGCTGACCTTGAACTCCTGGTGATCCTCCTGCCTCAGCCTCTCAAGTGCTGGTATTACAGACATGAACCACCATGCCCAGCCAACCAGCAATTTTTTTTTCCAGAGTTCCCCAGCGGGTGGAACAAAGCTTGTCATATTACCTCCTCTAACCCAGTATTTTTCTCATTACTCCCTGAAGAACGGATTAAGACAAATGTCCTTAGCATGGCCTAGAAGGCTCCATCTGGTACTGACCTCTCCAGCTCCCGTCTCACCTGCCTTTCTGCCTCCACTGGTCAGCTCTCAGGCTCTAAGGTTCTGTCTGCCACAGGACCTTTACACATCCTATTTTCTACCTCTTCTGCCTTTCTTACCTATACAACTTCTATTCCCCCTTCAGTTCCCAGCTCAAGAACACCCCTTTTCAGAGAAACTTGCCTCACATGGATGAGATCAAATCTTATTGGGAGCTACTGCAGCTTGCTCCATCTTTATATCTAACACCTGCCATAGGATTACTTTTGTCTGGTGATTTGATTGTTATCTGATTCTGTAACTGGATTATAAACCACAGGAGGAATGAGACTGACTCTGTTTTAATGCAACACTGTATTTTCAGCACCAAGCGGAGTCCCCAATATAGAACAGGCAGCGAGAGAAATACGTGTGGGGAGCATTGAAGAGTGAGTGAAGGAGACCCCACAAGGGATAGAGGACACGGACAGACATGAAGGTAGGACAGGGGCGCAGAGGCAAGAGGTGCATGTGAGGGAGGAGAAGTAAGCAGGCCGCTTGGAAGTCACCTTGAGACATAAACAAACCAAATACAGTGTCCAGAGCAGAGGTCCCCAGCCCCAGATACGGCGACAGCGCCTGCGGGGTGGGTTAGCCGAGCCCGCACTGTGGAGTGACAGTCTCCCCAACGCACTCCGCATGCAAACCACTCACCACCTTACGCCGCTGCCCGACCGCTTCCAAAACCTCTGGACAACTCCTCTACCAGAATGTGGAGGCTGGTTTCCACATCCAGGACGTTCTCCTTCCGCGCTGCTCCCATCTCTCATCCAGTCCTGGGAGGGCAAGTCGGTGTGGCGCGTGCGTGGCTCACTGGTGCTCAGAGGAAGTGGAACGAGAATCTGGTGCTGTGGATCGGGTGGAACTGCTCTCCCCGAAGAGGAGCGTTCAAGTCCTCATCTCCCCTACCTGGGATTGTGACTTGAGAACAGGGCATTGCAGATTCGTCCTTCTGAAACCTTGATTTCTGACTTCTAACCTCTGAGAAAATAAGTTTCTGTTTGTTCCCCCCCCCCCCCAAGTCTATGTAATTTGTATTGGGAGCTCTAGGAAACTAATTCATGTTTTCTGAAGGAAATTGTCCTCAAGGCTTAGATATGACAAATCATTTAGGATACAAATGAGGAGACCTGGACTCTGTCCACTGTTTGCACTGGAACAGAGCAAACACAATTTAAATGCAGTTGTAGATAGAATTCTAGACATAAACTGTGGCACGCCTGTAATCCCAGCCCTTGGGAGGCTGAGGCAGGGGGATCTTGAGTTTGAGGCCAGCCTGGGCTACATGGCAAGAGCCTATCTCAGAACCCCACCCTCCTCCAAATCTAGAAACAGCAGACCCTTGTAACACCAGGGTCTAAAATTATAAGGTAGATCTCTATATGTAGACATTCAGACAGCTTGACTAAATAAGATATGCTCAGGGAGAAGTAGGAGGTGGTTTAGGTTGGAATCTTGTCTATCTTGATAGAGCCTGTAGGTAAACAGTGACAAGAAACTCTGTGGAATCACTGGGAGAATTAGGACGCTCTGGGATCTGTCTTCAGACTGTAAGGTTGCCACCAGGCAGAGCAGACCTGGGGGTTTAAAATGCATACCTACTTCTTTGAACTGCCTTGCAAATGCAAGGTCCTGAGTTCGATACCCAGTACCAAAAAAAAAGAAAAAAAAAGAATCTTTGTTTTAATGTTTAGAGGAAGAAGGACAAGAGTACATGCTTATTCTTCATTTGCTATGGAGTATTTTAAATTTGTTTTCCTTTCATTCCATCAGTTTATGACTTCTCAGGTCCAAAGTTACCCTTCAGTACCTGCTTGGTGCTAAGGGGCTGTGCCCTAAGCATTTCTTCTCTGTGATGTGAATGATGCTCCATGGTATGGGTAGAGAGCAACAGCAGAAGTTGCAGGAGGAGATTCCAGCCTCCCCTTCCTGGTTCTGGTATATCGTTGTTTCTCTTTTCCTGCTCTTGCACAGCTCACTGGCAGTGCAGGTCTTTCAGGACATCTGATGGCATCTAACCCACTGTGTCCCCAGACGGGCAGCCCTAAGTGAGCATGCAGTGACACCCGGGCTGTGTGTCCACCTTCCTGTGATCATCCCCATGTGGATGCTGCAGGCTCCAGGCTCTGCAAACCCATTCCCTGGAAGGTTGGTTCTGGCTGGCCAGGGATGGGGGACCCATTCTGGCCTGGACAGCCCACTTCTCTGCCATCCAGCCGGCTGAACCACACCTTTGGATTCTTCTAACATTGGATTTGACCCCCAGGCTTTGGAGGGGGCCTCACTCCCAAGTTTACTTGGGGGGCTACTCCCCCTCACCCTGAATGTACCCTAGAGTTCTCACTATTGCTTATAGTCACACTATCTTATCTTTTAATTCTTTGTATTAAACTTCCCTTGTTTGAATTACTGTGTGGTTTCTGCCTCTTGATTGTACTCAGACTGTGACAGGTACATTCATCCCTTCCTGAACAGGAAGTGAAAACAGAGAGACTTCTGTTTCTACACCAGTGGCGCTGGGCATAAGTCTACTGATATCTGGTTTGATCTCCCCATGGGGATTCCTGTCACTCATGAAATCCAAATATCCCATCCCAAAGGCCTCCACATGAGTGGCCCTCAGTCTGCTCTGGTACTGGGCAGTTAGCCCTATTCCCCCCACCAGTTTGTCTAAACTTTCAAAGGTTATTCACATATTTACATAAGGATTAGGAGATAAACTTTGTGTGGCAGTGCATCTTCTCTCTGGCCGTAAATCGATTCACACCCCTTGTCTGTGTTTCAAGGAATGTTAACCCAGGTGCTGAACACGGGAGAAAGGTTTCTGTGAGAAGGAACTACATGATCTGTACCATAGGGTAATTAGGAGGAGAAAATAGGGTATTCCCGGTAAATTCTAAGTCTGGCCTGAGTACTTTGTTTGTGCTCAGTTATGGTGAATACTTCTATTCATCCATCTAAATTTAGAAAGCAGCTAGCAGCACAGGGACATGAGGATGAACAGGCCTCATACCCCATGTCCTGCCCTTGAGGAGTGGCCAGGCCAGGCTCCTGCTCCGTATAAGGCAGAGTATCAGAAACAATCCCCCCCTCATCATCTCCCAAACATACGGAATTTCAAGCAGAATATAATTAATAATTAATAATTTAGTCATAAAATCTATAGCAAGGAGGTAAGTTCAGTGTCTAGAGGGACAAGTTTTCTTTTCTCTCTTTCTGAGACAGAATCTCGTTATGTAGTTCAGGCTGGCCTTGAAGTCACAGTGATCCTCCTGCCTCAGCCTCCCATGTGCTGGGATTACAGGTATGTGCCACCACACACCTGGCTTCTTTTTATTTTTGTAGTGCTACAGATTGAATTCAGGGCCTCACACACATTAAGCAAGTGCTCTGCCATTGAGCTACACTCCTAGCTCAACAAGGGGTATTTTCTATTGTTACTTTGATTAAGCTTTGAAAAGCCCAGGTTACTATTGGACCAGATTGTTTTTCTGTAGTTAGCTATAAACATTTAAAAATATTATATTGAGAATATTACCGTATAGTAGGTTGTGTGATGGGCAGTATAATAATACTTAATTTAATCCTTATACTACTGTCAAAATCAAGCATTATAAACTGAGTGTGGTGTAACATGCTTTTATTCCCAGAGCTGAGGGAGGCTGACTCAGGAGGATCACAAGTTTGAGTTCCACCTGGGCAATTTAGAGAGACCTTGTCTCAAAAAATTTTTAAAAAGTTTAAGAAGGCCAGTGATGGTAAAGTGCTCCTGGGCTGAATCCCACTACTGGGCAGGGGATAGAGCAGAAATGTAGGCTCCATGTTATAGATGATGAAAGTAATGCTCAGAGAAGAAAATCTCCTTTGGTCACTCAACAAGTGAATTAAGAATGAGGTGAGGTGGTGCAGACCTGGAATCCCAGCACTCTGGGAGGTTGAGGCAGGAGGATGGCAAGTTCAAGGCCAGCCCGGGAAACTTGGTGATTTAGTGAGACCCTGTCTGAAAAATATAAAATAAATAAAAAAGAGCTGGACATGTAGCTCAGTGCAAAGGCCCCGAGTTCAATCCCCACTACCTCAACAAAACAGAACCACACATAAGCCAATTAAGGACCAGGATTCAAACACAACTCTATGTAACTCAAAACTGCTGCTTTTATAGACCATGCTAAGCAATTTCTTTGGTTGATTTTTCAGCTCAGTTGTGCTAGGGCCTAGACAGCCACTTCCTAACCCTCCCCTACCACCCAGTCATCCCAGCACCTTCTACTTGTCTGTTTGCCTGACTTCTTTTGCCATTAGACTAAGACTTCCTTGATAATAGACACAACCTATTGTTTACCATTGTATCCTTGGCTGTTCTGTTATCTATTACTACATAGTAACCTGCCCTAAGGATTAGGGGCATTAAGTGACAATTTATTACTAAACCTCTGAGCTCTGTGGGTTGGTCGGGCTTAGTTGGCTATGGGGCTCTTTCTTGGGTTCTCCCATATGGTAGAAGTTGGTGGTGACTGAGGCAGGTGTTTCCTGAAGGTTCAATTGGGCTGACGTCCCAAAGAGCTTCCTTGTCACTTATTTAGCGGTTGGCCTCTGCTGGCTGGACAGTGGGGACTGATTGGGCATCTCTCCAACTCCCTGTAGCTCATCCACCTGGCTAGCTTAGCTTCCTCACAGCACAAAGTAGTTAGAGAGCGTCTGAGGTGGCCCAGAGTGACGGTTCCAAGAGACTTGGGTGTAAGCTACAAGGCTTTCTCTGACCCAGCCCCGGAAGTTACTCAGTATCACGGCTACCTTATTGCATTGTGAGTCATGAGGTCAACTCAACTGAGATGAAGTGTGTAAAAGACTCCATAAGCATGACTGTTGGGAGGCATCATTCACTTGGTGGCCATCTTTGGAGACTAACCGCCATTTCAGGGAGAGGGAAGGCTGCTTAGAGGAGGAGGTATGTAGACGGGACTCAGATGAAGAGTAGGAGTTTGCAAGTGAGGAAAAGTTGGAGAAGAGAAAGGGGAAGTGAGGAAAGGTTCTTCCAAGCAAAGGGAACTTCCTGTACAAGGACTCAGATAGATGATAGATAGATAGACAGACAGGAGATGCAGGATTGGTTAGCATGTTGTAGTTAGGTTCTACCACTTAACTTGATGGGTGACTTTGGATAGTGATTTGACCTTTCTGTGTCTCTTTTCTCATATGTGAAATGTAGGTAATCATAGATGATATGGTTTGGATTATAAATGTTCTCCAAAGACCCATATGTTAGAAGTTTGGCCCACAGCCCTTGATGCTTTCGGGAGGCCGTGGAATCTTTAAGAGGCAGGGCCTAGCAGGAGGTCTTCAGATGACTAGAGGTGTGTCCTAGAGGGAGATAGTGGAAACACAGCCCCTTCCTCTTCCTCTCTTTCGCTTCCCAGACTCATGCTCTGCCATGCATTACTGCCATGCATTACTGCCATCCATTACTTTTCCACCAGAGGCCCAAGAGCAATAGGTCCACCAGATCATGGACTTCAACATCCCAAACCATGAGCTGAAATAAACTTTTCTCTCCATAAGCTGATTAGCTCAGTCATTTGTTACAGGCATGGAAAGCTGATTAACACAATAGTCCCTGTCTAGTATAGCTGTAAAGATATAGTAAAAGATAAAGATATAGATAAAGATTTAGTAAAGCTCTAAATTAGTTGATTCATGAAGGCTAAGCATGCACTCTACCACTGAGCTACATCCTCAGAGCTGATAAGAATTTTTTAGAACAGGGGTCCCCTAGCCCTGTACTGGTCTTTGGCCTGTTCAGAACTGGGCCGAACAGCAGGAGGAGAGTGGAGGGCTAGCCAGCAAAGCTTCATCTGTATTTGCAGCCTCTCCCATCACTCAAATTATTACCTGAGCTCCATCTCCTGTCGGATCAGTAGCAGCATTAGATTCTCACAGGAGCATGAACCCTACTGTGAATTATACGTGTGAATTCTACGATCTAGGTTGCATGCCCTTTGAATCATCCTGAAGCCACCCTCCTCCTCACTCCCATGGAAAAATCGTCTTTCACAAAACTGGCCCCCAGTCCCAAAAAGGTTGGAGACTGCTGCTTTAGAGCAATACCGCACACATAGAAAACACTCACCAAATGTTGGTTGTTGTGGTTGCATTTACTAGTATTGTCCTGGGAGCCCTGGGCACGTGAACATGGCTGGAACATCGAACTTCAGCGAGGAGCAGTGAGATTTGGGTCTGAATGGTAAGCAGGTCAGATCATGAATGACTTTGTACGTTGTACATAGGTGTTTCAATTATTTCCTACAGCACAGGAAAAGGGGGACAGATTTTTTTATTTTTGGAGCCCAGAGCCTTGCACATGCTAACCACAGAGCTAAACTCAAGGTTACAAGCCCCAAGGTTACGAGATTTAAGCAAGGAAGAGTAGGCCAGATTTGGGGTTTCAGAAGGATCTTTATGCTCAGGGTCTCCAGAGTGAGGATTCTTGGTGGAGAAAAACTAATGACAGAGAGATCAGTGAGAAGCTGGTGCAGTGGTTCAGGAGAGAGAAGCAGTGGCTTGGTGTAAGGTTTTGTTGATGGGCATGGAGCAAGGTAGGCCTGCTAAAGTTCACCATGCTGGTTAGGGACTAGAGCTGCTGACTAACTACACTGGGATTTCCTGCCAGGAAATTAACCGGATTTTATTTGTTTGTTGAGGTGCCAGTTTAATATGTGTTATTTGATAGAGACAGATAAGTAGCTGTGAGTAACTGGACAGAGATGGTGTAGCTGGGAGGTACGGTTTTCACTTCCATTGCTTATGCCTGCACTTGCTGGTATAAACAGATGCGTCCTGGGAATTACTGTGCTGGAGGGAAACTGAGCAAGGTGGGGCATTCTCTTCGAAGGAGAGTTCTTTCTAGCTCTACTGGTTTTTATTTTAGGGTTACACCCCATCTTCTCATAGCTAACTGCCTCATCTGTTCTCCCCAGGGTCAGACTGGGAGTGTTTATTTGCTTTTTCTGGTTTAATTAGCATGCCAAGCACTAGTAAGATGTGACTGGCAGTTTCTGTGGGTACAGGCTGGTCATGCGGCTTGTGCTCTTGGAGGCCCCGGACTGGAGTGAGGCAGATGGGCAGAGGGCAGGAGCTGAGGGCACTGGGGATGGGAGACCCCGGTGTTGGAGAAGGGCCTCCTGAGGAAAGACATCGGAGACAGCAAGGGGCAACGTACAAGGAATGAGTGTGGTGGTGCCTGCAGCGTCTTCTCTGATCTCTTCGCTTGCCCATGACCACCTGGTTCCTTGTGGGGATTGACTGACAGAGTCCTAAGCACTTTTCAAGGTGTAACTCAGGTCGCCCCTCGGTGGGAAGCCTCCTGTCTCTATTCTGGGCCTTGTAGGTTGCTTGTGTCCGCTTTGAAGACCTCAGAGGGAGCGCAGGCACCGAAGAACTCCCCACTCACGTGCTGCTCTTGGGATCGCCTCACTTCCTCACTTCCTCTGAAGGTTTTTTGTTCTTTCAGTGTCCTCACAACACCACTCAGAGTTTTCAGGCACCCTGTGTGGATGGACAGATGCAGGTTTTGGAAGCTGTGTCAGCCCTCAGCTACACACTGGGAAGCTGAGGAAGACGCGTTAAGTCTGACCCAAGACTGCAAGTTAGTGTTGTAGGAGCCGGCCAAGCACACTTCCAGGGTCAGACATTTTACACTTTAATTGTTTAATTCTTTCATCAAACCCTAAGAGCCAGGTCCTATTGTTCCCACTCTATAGCTGCAGAAGCTGAAGTTTGCAGTGTTTAAACAACTGCCATACACTTAGTTGCCAATCCCAGAATTAAAATCCAGACAGTCTAACTCCTAGCTGCATCTCACAGCATTTCCTACAGAGCAATACACATTCACTTCTTTGTCCCTGCTTCAAATTAGATTATAACCATGGTAAAGGGCAAGAGCCCTGCTTCTGTTTTTATTTTAATCAGGACCTAGCATGAGCCCAATGCAGAGCTGACGTTTGAGAAATGACGAGTAACCACCTGTTCAGTGAATAACATAGTCAGGATTACGGTCACTTCCAGGCCTGGTCAATGCGTTCACCCTGCAAAGACCAGATTGGCCTGCGGGGTAGGAGCTGGCAGGAGCCTTTTCTCCCCTCAGAGGAACACAATCCCACACCGTGCGAGGAGCCATCTCAGTCCTGGTGTCCTTCGAAAGTCGTGGGGCAGGAGCCTGGCTCTGTGTGAGCCAGTAGCTCCCTGAGGGCCACTTCCCACCCGCAGGGCTGGCCCAGGTTGGCCTTACACTGGGGCAGGGTGACCTGGATTGAATCTACAGAGATTCTTGGAAAGAGAGGCGACCAGCTTCCACCTAGGGTATGATGACATCTACTCTCTGGCCAGGAGACTTGGGGGTGGAACTTGGTTCACTGTGGCTGGATTCACTTCACAGTTTCTAAGCCTCAGTTTCCTTCCTGTAAAATGGAGATACAAAGACTGCCCAGTTCATCCAGTTGTTGTGAAGACTGAATGGGAAAATTCGTGGCCAGCCCTTCTCATAGCATGCGGCAAGTGGCACCTATGGCGCTGGATATTTAAAGCTTGAGACAGAAACAGGAACAATGTCCAGCACTGCAGGGTGCTTTGCCACTGCCAGCCCCCCCTTCCCATACTGCATCACAAAGCCACACTGGCAAACAGCTGGAGTGGAATTTCCAGGCCTTTCTGTTTTCCTCTCCTGCTTACCAGTTCCAAGCCTCTCATTCATCCATACCTGTGCGAGATCTCTCCCCTAGGCAGCCTTGTCAAGGAGGGGCTGACCAAGTTCTGGAGGACAGGATGGACCCTGCCTGGTTGCCTGGAAGTGCGCTGGAGGAAGCAGAGCTGTCCTGACCCAGGAGGCTCCATGCTCCTGCCTCTGCCTGAGGGCGTTGGGGCCAGATGTGGCTGGGCTTTCACAGGGGCAGGTGAAGGGTCTCAGAGGGAGGAGCGTAGCTGGCAAACACTGACAGAGGAGAACTGGGTTTTATTTATGCAGATTGGTTGTGGATCACCAGTGACTTAATGGCCAGATTAGTACACCAGTATGTCAGGAAACATTAGGACTCTTATTCACACTCATGGTGGACCCTGAGGCAGCAGACAGGTTTCTGGCAAGAGATTTAGGGGTCAGAGGGGCCTCACTCCCATACCTCATGCCAAGGGCTGGCTTTCCCTGGGTTACAGAGTAAACGGACTGTTTCACAAAGTGCCTGACTCAGGATCCCCTTCTCTAAGCGTCCTCCTCCCAGCCAGAATGTTTGCAATGCAAAGGATTTTTCTCATTCTGGGGCCACACCCTGTGGGTGATTGGACTGTCCCTTAGACATCACTGGGTGGAAGGCTGTGTGCAGACAGAGCCACTGGGTTAGGACTTGTGGAGCGGTGCATGCAGGAAGGAAAGGCTGCCCTAGAGGCAACACCTGTTTGAAATGTCCCTGTTATCTCTGTTTTAACCTGTTCTTCAGCTCATCTTTCCTGCCTCTCCTGGCTTCTTTATCTCTCCAGGAGAAAGCTCTGCCTTTCTCTTGAATTCCCCATGTAACTCACTGTTCTGTAACCTTGCGCTTAATTGTCTGTCTCTTCCAGTAGACGGCGAGGGGTTTAAGGACCAGGTCTCCAGAGTGCGGCCCCTGGCAGGATAATGAATGATGAGTAAACGCACGAGTGAGTGAACCATGTGGTGGAGCCAGACGCCATCTTGAAAAACATAGGTAAATATAAGTAGTATATGTGTGTGTCTATTTAAAATAGTTTGTCTTGATGACTTCCTTCATTCAGGGCAGATCCAGCCAAGGAAACAAACTAGTTATTGGCTTGTAAAAAGTAAGAGTATGTGAACACCTAAGGGACAGGCCTGAACAAGAGACTGGCCGCTTCCTGGGCCTTTCTATTTGCCCAAATGCCTCAGTGTAGCTTAGACAACACTCGCAGGGAGGTGAGCAGGGGACCAGAGCAGGGAGTGGAGGTGCAGGGTCCTTCCCTTCCACAGCAGCTCAGTATGCCTCCCTTGTAGATTGTAACAAGAAGAGGGGATTTCTTCTTTGCATTTGTTTATTTACTTTTTAAATTAAAAACCCTCGTTTTGATACTGGGAATTTGAACCTAGGATCTCAGCCATGCTAGGCAAGCACTCTGCCACTGAGCTACATCCTCAGCTTTCTCATCTTAGTTTGAGCCAGGGGCTCAATAAGTTGCCCAGGGTGGCCTCAAACTTGAGATCCTTCTGTCTCAGCTTCCTGAGTAGCTGAGGTCACAGGCATGCGCCACCACACCCGGCTGTGTGTGTTTAGAAATTAGATCCATTTGTATGTTCATTCTTTTTTCAAGTGTCTTAAATCTGTGGGCTTATCTTATAATTTAAATTTACAAAGCCGTCATTCTGAACCTCTAATGAGTTGAAGAACCCTTGAAAATCTCAGATATGAAATTTAAAAATGTCAAGGACATTAACTTTGCATAGTTTAAGAGTTCAGGTGGCTTACTGGTGTAGAGATCTTTGTGTTAACAGGTTAGCACAATACCTGCCCACAACAGGTGCTTAATAAATAGCACTGCACTGAACTGGACCGAGTAACCTTGCTTGTCACAGAGTCTTGCAGACCTGAGATAAACACTTACCTGAAAGTGTAAGTCACGTTCGCACAGGGCTGGCACCTCCAGCCAACTGAAACTAAGGCCAGCTATTCCTTTCTTTCCTCGCTTGGTCGCCTGCTACTCTTTACGCTGACAATGAAATAGGTCTTTGGTTTCATTAGGGTGATCTGGGCTTCAGCCATTGAACTTTACTCTGTCCTATAAACCTTTCCATGGGGTGGGGGGAACTGCTCAGTGGTAGAGCACTTGCCTATTATGGCTATGAGCCCTGGGTTCCATCCTCAGCACAGCAAAGAAAAATAATACATTAACAAACAACAATGCCTTGCTGTGAATGTGTCTATCAGCTTTTTCCTGTCAGGGAAAAATTGATTCAGACAATTTATCTAAAGCAAATATTGTACACAATGCTGGGGTAAGGAAGATGCTTAACAGCTGTTGTCCCCATGAAAGGAAAATGACAAGGGAGTAGATTAGAAATGGGAAAGTCCTTGGCATGGGGGTGCATTCTTGTAATTCTAGCTGCTTGGGAGGCTGAGGCAGGAGCATCATAAGTAGCCTAGCCTGTGCAATTCAGTGACTTGGGAAGACCTTGTCTAAAATAAAAAATGGCCGGGCATGGTGGCACTGTCCTGTAGTCCCAGAACTCAGGAGGAGACAGGAAGATTGGCATGAGTTTTAGGGTAACCTGGGCCACATAATGAGTACAAGACCAGCCTAAACTATATAGTGAGACTCTCTCAAAAAACCAAATAATAAAATAAAAGAAAAAAGGGGTGGGGGCATAGCTCAGTTTGAGGGCCTTGGGTTCAAGCTCTAGTACCACCAAAAGAAAAAAAAGAAAAAAGAAAGAAAAGAAAGCAAAAGGGAAGACATTTAGAGGGCAGAGAAAATATGGGGAGACATGGAACTAGGGGAGGATGAGGAGGTCCTGCCCTCAGACTATCTCCTTCCCCTCTTCTAGATGAGAGTGGTCTCCCAAGAAGCCCTTCTGATGACCAGCGAGCTAGAACCTGAGAAATGAGGTCAATGACCAAACAAAGACACGGCACTGGGTATTTCCCTGCTAGAATGTGTGGAAATATATAATAACACCAAACCCCAATGATGGAAAACAAGCTGTGAGTGGAAGTGGAGGCATTTGGTAAGAGATGCCAGCAGTTTTTGCCTGGGAAAGAGAAATTAAGGGAGGAGCTGCCACCCCTGCCAAGCCTAACAGCTTAAGAGGCAGATGGGAACGGAGGCCTTGGGCAGCACCAGCTGCTAATGAGCTCAGTGGGGCAAGGCTGCAGGGGGCCCTGGGTCCTCTGGGGAAGATGGCAGAGGGCGCAGCCTGCAGTGGTGCTGCAGAGCCAGGCACAAGTGGGCCAGCGAGCCTCATGGGGGCAGAAGGATGCTGTGGATGACGCTTAGTCCTGCAGCTGGGGGCTGGGCTGGGTAGGTGGTGCACCACTTTTTCTTTTCTTCTAGGGATTAAATCCAGGGCCTTCATGCTGAGGTACATCCCCAGCCCTGTTTGTTTTCGATTTTAAGAAAGGCTCTTGCTAAATTGCCCGGGCTGGGCTCGAACAATCCTGTCCGAGCCTCCCAGAGTGCTGGGATCGCAGGCGTGTGCCACCACTCCCAGCAGGTACTTACCTCTTGAAGCCTCAGTTTCCTCATCTGTAAAAATGGAAATAGGAACATCTACTTTGTGTACAAACTAAACTGGTTAAAAAGAATCTATTCCTTCTGATGACGAGTCCATGAGGTGTTTTAGTGAGAAAAAAATCCTGCCACCTGAAGATGTATTTTCTTTGTAGCAAGCAAGTAGACTTCAGACAAAGTGCCAAATAGGGAAATATTTATTAGCTTCGAACAACCCTGTCTTTCTCAGCCTGTTGCTGGCGTGTCACTGACATAGCCTTTACATCTCCTGTAGTGTAAGCATCCTTCTAACACCGAGAGTCACACGGGCCTCTTGGGGAAAACCTGAGCTGCCCCGGGAAGTACAAATGTGAAGAGCGATAGGTTCATGGTGGTTCTAACCTTTCGTCTCTCTATGGAATCCTTTGAGAATGTGATGAAAGCTGAGGACATTTTCTCAAGGAAATTGCACACATATTTCTGACAATAAAGAGGCTTTTTCAACTTGAGGCTCATCTTTGGGTCCCGGTTTGTGTGAATGGTGGAGTAGATGTCCATGGACCTCAAGTGTTTTAGTGTTCCAGAGCTGGAATGGTAAAATGTCATACATTGGGTGATATTTATTTCCTCACAATTCTGGGGGTTAGGAGTCCATGATCAGGGTGCCAAGATAGTTGGGTTCTGGAAAGGACGCTCTTCCTGGCTTGCAAACTGCTACCATCTTGTGTGTGTGTGTGTGTGTGTGTGTGTGTGTGTGTGTG